GGAGCCAGCCAGTCGCCTTGTTCGCACCCCTTTCCCTGGGCGATATCACGGCAGTGCCCTAACTTTCCGATCAACAGTCAACACAGTACGTGGAAGGACGGCCATAGAAAAGCCGCACGAAGGGGAGGAGCTCACGGATTTGAGCGGCGTAAAAAACGAGGTGCAGGAGATGCTGTCATACAGGCATTGCGCCATCCAGCGACACCGGCACTTGATTTGGGTCCTGGTTCAGGGCCACGCGGACATGGGCCGCTAGCGCGTCCGTGCCCGCAGTCGAGCGCGCCGTGTTGCTTGCGCCCGCATGCAAAGCCAGGAATTGCGCTCGCCGGGCAAGGCTCGCCGGGCGGGCGTCGTGCCAGGGCATGGGCTCAGCTTTTGCGAAAGGCATGCGTGGCGGCTGCGCAGGCGAGGGTAGCGGCGTGAAGCTTAGTGTCGCTTCGTCGGGTGCCATTGCGGCTACTGCTCCCGAGCGTTTTGCTGGGGGCGACTCTGAACTCTCCGCGCCCCGCCCGCAGCGCAGAGAGACGCTGGTGGTGAGCTCTTTTTCCGTCTTGGTCCAATTCGCATTTTCCCGGCGCTGGACCGGGTGCTCGACTTCGCCGCCGACGAAGAGCCAAGCCGCTTGCTCCTGCGGCCGCAAAATGGGACCCTGCGTTTGAGACGCGAACTGGCGCCCCTCGCCTAGGCATGTCCGAATGACCGCGTGTTGACAGAGTGGTAGCAAGACTTATGTGGCAGTGGCACTTTCTTGCAGGTGCAAAAGGCAGTGAACAAAAGACTTGTCGGCCCACTCCCAGGCGGGTGCTTTCGAGACCAAACAGCGGACGGAACATGTCGCCTGTGGCGATTCCACGCACGCTCCCGTGTGGCTTGTGCATGTTGCCCCTACAAGTGTACATGTGGTTGTTCATAGCTCGTTGGAAGAGGGACACTGGACTTGCCATTGTGTTGATAGATGTTGGTAGCCTATGGTGAAGATCCAATGTGTGCTCGATGACGTTGGCTCGACACATCTGGGAGACCATGCAAACCTTTGAAAACAGTGCCGCTATGCTCGGTCTTAGGTGTCTTTGCAAGATGTCATGTACCGGAGAACGTTGGTGTACAGACAAGGTTCGACCGTACACGTGTCAAGAGGCCAGTGTTGCGCTGTTTAGCAAGCCGTGTCACCTGCATGGGGCGTGTATCTGCAAACGTCACCGACTCAGCTTTGCTATTGCTTATGAGCAATATGTCCAGCGCTGAAGCAAGGTTTCGAAAACGAAGCGGGCGCAAGACACCAAAGACGGCGTAGGCATGTTTTTCGTCAGTGAAGGAGGTGTAGACTTCGCACAGCGTGGCAGCGGCAGGACTCCTGCTCGTTGAGGATTACGCGCAAAGCGCAGGCACTCATTTGAATGTGGTTGTTTGGAGAATGCTCCATCCTGTGAACATATGCAGAGTATATTGTAGGTTTTTTTGCGCTTGCATGGAGAGGAATAGCCTAAGAGAGAGGACCTCGCTGCCAAACCTGAGACAAGCCCGGGAGGAAGTAAGGGAAACAGTGCAGCAACGATGGTATAGGACACAGAATAGCAAACAAACAAGAACAAGACTGGACACAGAGTAAGTGTGCGTGCAAATGGATCCACTTCCACGGCGAGGTTCCTCTGGTGAAAACAAAAAACAGGGAAAGACAAGAAAGGCTGTTATTCGGTCATACCAAACGCTTTTGAACAAATGTTGGATGCACGGAGGTCTTTGAGTATGAATGACAGATTGTCGCACATCTCAGTGTTTGTCTGTATGTCTGTCAGTCTGGCAGTCTGTCAGTCAGTGAGTGAGTGAGTCAGTGAGTCAGTCCGTCCGTCCGTCGGTCGGTCGGTCTGGCTGTCCGTCTGTCTGTCCGTCTGTCCGTCTGTGTGTCTGTGTGTCTGTGTGTCTGTGGGTCTGTGGGTCTGTGGGTCTGTGTGTCTGTGTGTCTGTGTGTCTGTGAGTTGTGCGCGCACGAACACATGACCATTTTAGGATGCTCCTGGGACAGCAGCAAAACGCAAGACAACATGGCTTGCAAACAACTTGACACTTAGCGCACAGTGCAACAGAGGCACAGATGGGTTGCCATCAATTTCCCATCCATGACGGCGATCGCTCCGGTTTTAACATTAAGAAATTCTTCATGATAGCATGGGGCAGAGGTCGGGCCGAGCTGGGCAAGTGCAGGCAACCGGTCTAACTGTGTCGCAGTGTCGCAGGGCTCCTGGTCATTTTGGTACGACAAGGATGAGGATCATGATGATGACGCCTTCGCACGTGGCCCTGCTACTCTAGGTGGCACTTTGGGAAATTTGGAATTTCCTATAGAAAGGTAATGAAATGTACATATTCACAAATACTTTTCAGGGCCCCCAAATTCTACCGCAGTCTACTTCGTTTCATTCTGGACCCTATGAACCCCAGTCTTGTTCAACAACATACACCAACAAGAAGCGGCACAACATCAAAGCATCATGGCCGGTGCCACGTGCACGTACCGTAGAAAAACCGCATGAATAGCAGTTCTGCACACCTATCTTTTCGACGAAGTGACGGGAAGAACCCACGACCGACTGGCAGAACAAGCAACTACAAGGTGCATCCTGGCAGAGTGGCAGCCGGCAGCCAAAGGAGCTGTCGTCCAGCACCGTCGTGGCATCGTTCCAGCACCGACTCAAGCTCCATGTAAAGATCCTGATTGACGGCGAAGCAGCAACCCCACCGCGTGCCGTCTTTCGCCATGACGTGTACACGACCACCTGCACCTCGGGTTCGCACATGAGTGCGAGCGACACGGGCAAGCACCAGAACCTGGGGCATTCGAGCGAAGATCTGAAAGCATGTGTTGCACATGGCCACTATACTCAACTATACTCCGTGCATTGATTATTGCATACGCTCGCAACAAAAAGCCTGTCTGCGATTCTTGCTGTACGTGTGTCTAAGCTTAACGGGACCGCGCCCTTGGAATGTGAAGATTTTCAACCAATTCCATTCTTCACATTGTCCACAGGCTCATGTTTCAGAGAAGCCCTTTCAAGCCAATGATGTAGCTAAAAGAGCGGGAAGACTGGAGAGCTCCCGCTTGAAGGGGCCCGAGAGGCTGAGGCCGCTCTTTGGGGGAGCAAAACGCAATCGACGGGCAGCCCCCAAAAAGAGCGGCGCAGATTCTGCGGCTTAGAGCTCCAGTGCAACAAGGAGTTCTGATGCGTGTCAGTGTTCTCATCTTGTTTCTGTTGCAGATCAGCGACGGCCCGAAGTTGGCAGCCTTGGCCCCAGAGATATGGACCTGGTGCGTGGTTGATGGTAGCTCTGAGAAGGTAAGCAAGCACCCGGGCTCGAGAAGGCACCGGCGGCTCGAACCGGCGAGCGGGAAAGGCTTTTTTGAAGCTCAGCAGACGACAGCAGGACAGCCCGGCGACTTTGAGCGCTCCAAACCTGCGGGGCAAGCACGACACGACCCCGGCTCCGGGTCAATACGTCCGGCCCCCCCTTTTTTTGGTGCCTTGGCAACTTGTTTTCTTTTCTTTTCGATTCTCCGAGGTCTGGAGGGATGACGTGCATTTGCGGAAGAAGCCGGCTCCGGGTCCCAAGTGTTCCGTGGTCCGAGCATGCGCACGGCCACTGTTTGCGGCGCTCGTGAGGTTTGGAGCATGATGTCGCCTGACAGGACGCTCTGCGATTTGCTGCAGATGTCTGTTTGCGGTGCTTGCGCTTTTTTGGCAATTCGAAGGAGAAATCTGGATTTGATGCGCTGGCCTCAGCGACTTGTGGATCCGATTCACCGGCGTGGCTGTGATTGCGGATTGGCGAGGCTGGGAACCTGGACCCCAGCTTCCCGGTCCCTTCAGTCAGAGCGTTAGTGACGTGAGAGAACGAACTGCTTCTGTGCTGCGGCTGCACATGGCCATTGCGAGGCCCCGCGCTCCGGATCCGGGAGAGTGCCCCCCGAAGAAGCCCCGAACTTCTCCGCGGCATCCGCCATTTTGTGTCCTTGCACAGGTACGGTGCTGTGGATCGCTGTGGCCGCAACGGCGTGCAACGGCCTTCACCGGCCTAAACCCCGCAGCCAGAGGAGTGTTTTGCGGGTTGCGAGGTTTACAAGCCCGAAGTGGTCCCAAGCGAGATCCAGTGGGCAGCAGCCTCGCCGTTTCGTGCTGATTTTTGTGTGCCCTTCGTCTTTGCCTGGCTGAGGCGACCTTGCTTGGCTCAGGATCCGCCGGAAGTTATCGAGATCGAGCCGGGGCCCTTTTTTGAGTGAGCGGCAGGATGCCTTGGCTGCCTTGGCTGCCTTGGCTCGTATGCACTGGCCCTGGCGTGTGGAAGGAACAAGCTGCCCTCTTCTTTCGGTGGCGAGAATCCCCTTCATGCGCTGCTGGCATCTTTTTTGAGGGACGTGACCCCCTTCTGCTAGAGCTAGGCAGCTAGTTGTGCGGTCAGTCTGCAGTCTGCTCAGGCTTGGCCTCCGAAGTGGTCCGTCTTTGGCAAGGCCTCGACTTTGAGGGGAGCCGTGAGCTGAGCGCTAGAGCCGCTAGAGCCGCTAGAGCCGAGGACCGCTCGCAGCTCCCGCCTGGAGCACAGCCTCTTTGACGCCTCGAAGAGGGGACGAGTGGTGTGCAGCGTCCGAGGCACGACATCGGGACCTGGACGCCAAAGCCCAACACAGATGTGCGTCCTGGCCCAGGCGGTTCTGGCGCGGAGGGAAGTTCTTCCAGCATGGTTGACCGTGACGCCAGACCTTGGCTTTCCTCCGCTGCAATACGTCTTTCAGGATCAAGCCGAACAGCACCCCATTGAATCAAGAACCAGTCCATTCACGTCCACTCCACTTGCCGCGAGCTCGAGCTGCTCGAGCTCGCAAGTTTGTAGGTTAGGAGTTAGGCCCGTGGAGTTTCTGCGCCGTTTTCTGCTGGGCTGTTGGCAGCTGTTGCAGGTCACCCCTTTTCTAGTGGGGTTGGGCTTGGCGCGTAGCCGCAGCCGCCGCGATGGGATGCGGGAAGAGCGCGCCCATCGAGCCGCAGCCACCGGAAGAGGTGGTCTCCGCCACCGCTTCCCGCAACGCAGACAAGAAGGCGGGCAGACGGCCTCCCGGAAAGAGATCTCCTCAGCCTTCCGCTGTGGCAGGCGGCGCAGCTTGAGAACAAGGAGCATCCTCTCTCTTGCAACTTGAGATCAAGAGCTCGGAAGCTTTGGTGCAGGAATACCATGCGCGAATGAAGTTCCTCTCGGAAGTCCCGCTCATGAAGCGCTTGCCCAAAGATGAGCACCCCATTGTGGCAGAAGCTTGCGAGGCCAGGATTCTCCGCTCCTAGCAGTAGAGTGGCGCGCATATATTCCTCGAAGGCGAAGGCACAGGAGCTGGGATTGAGTCCTCGACCCCGAGAGGTTTGCATCTTCGAGCCTGGCCACAAGATCATCCAGCAGGCGCCGCACCCATGCACACCTTGCAGCGTGTGCCGCTGCCTTTAGGCAGTCTTGTCAGGGTGACAACGGCGATGCCTTCTACGTGGTTCGGACGGGGGAAGCCAGTGTCCACTTGGAAAACGAGGATGGCAAGAACCTGGTGGCGACTCTCAAGGCTCCCCCGGGCTGCGGGTCTCTGCGGCCTTGCAACTGCCTTGCCCGTCTCCCGCCCAGGGTGGAGATTATTTTGGAGAAAATGCCCTTCTGAGGGATGAGCCACGACTTGCTCCCTGGCTGCAGAACGTCCCTTCAGTCTGAGAGCGGCGGCGTGACATCCTGCTAGGCCACCATCATTGCGGAAAGTAAGCTCGTGGCTTTGCGAATCACCAGAGAGAAGTTCGAGGTAGCAGTGCATGTTTGGTACCTGTCTATGGCTGCATTGCAGCGACGAGTTTTGTTTAGGAGCTCGGCTTGAACAACAAGCTGATGTTTGCGAACCGGAAAGCCGTTGCTGGTGGGCTGCAGATGCAAGCGATGCCCAGCTGCACCGTAGATGAACCGCAGCCCGTGGAATGGCGAAGTTGTCCATCTCCTCGTGACAAGGAAGGCCAAACCTCCTACCGAAAAGACGGAGGAGGATGTCGTGCCTCGCAAGAAGCCTTTACAGCCAAGAGATTACGCTGTAGGGGCCTTGCAGCTCTCAGTCGCAACCCTTTCGAGCAGAGGTCCTCATCACCCGGGCTCTACAAGAGAATGAGTACCTCGCCACGATGACAGCCTTAGATGATGCGAGGCTCTGTGGCAGCTTTCGTTCTGTGAGGAATTAAGCCACCTTGCCCGCCCGCAGGCTCAAGTCTTTCATCGATGTGATGTGGAAAGAGGAGGTGAAGGCTTGGCTCGCATCAGTTTCTTACTTTTGAATCATTGAATGTCAGCATGGCGTAGCGGCGTGGCGTGGGGCGGGGTGTCTGCAGGAAGGCGAACAGATTATCACAGAAGGTGACCTGAAAGCCGATTTCTTTTACATCGTGCCGCTCGACCTGACCATGGGGGTCCATGAAAGCTAAACCGCGAAGCCTTCCCCCCGCGAGGGCTTCCGGGGAGTTCGACGTGAAGATCGCAGAGCCTTGGCCGGGGTCAGCCTTGGCCGTCGCCTGCAGAGCCTGCAGAGGTCTCGAGGAGTTTCCTTCAAGGAGGTGTTGGTGTGATGACACAATAGACGGGGTACACAGTGAGGTTTCTCGTTGTCCGTGGTTGTCCGCGGCCTTCCTCGTGTTCTATTGGAGCTGAAAGCGGGACGATGCAGCGCTAAGAAAGTTGTGAGGAAACCGACGACGAGGGCAATCCGAAGGCTGTGATGGAGAGCACTGTGTCCAAGAGCGTGACTCACGTAACGGCAGGCAGGGGCACCATCTGTGCCACTTTGCTTGGCCTTTTTGGGGACTCTGTGGAGAGGTGGCAGCTTCGGAGAGCTGGCTTTGATGTACTTCGTCCCGCGGGCGGCCACCATCGTGGCCACCACGGACTCGGAGGTTTGGGTCATCGTGGCTCGGAGTGAAAGCGACCTTCTAGGCCCTCCTTCCCTGAATGCGTGAGGCGTGAGCTTCCGGGTTTCGGGTTTCCCTTCTGAGTCACCAAAAGAAAGCGCTTCCTCAGCACAGTCGGAGATGCGAGGATCGGGCCAACTTCAAGAACATCTTGATGAAGGCGGGGGAACCGCTGTGCCTGTGCAGAGAGAGCTAATAAGAGCTCTTTCTGTGTCAGAGAGTCCGAGGCCTCCGACTCGAGGATCAAGGCCCGGGCCCGAGAGGTCGTCACTTACTCGTCTAAGACCTTCGCAAAAAAAATGGGAGCCAGTTCCCACCGCCTTTTTCCCCTTCCCCCGGTTCGTCCTCGTGTCGGCTCCGAGGAGTACGTGAAGTACTTGGATCAGGTCTCGGTCTTGGACAGTTTATTGGCTGAAGAGAAGAAGCAGGTCGCCAACGCACTCGTGGAGCTCCTTGGCCGGGGCTTTTTGTCTTCCGCCTGCCGTCGCTACTCGTCGCTGCACGCTCTGCACGCTCTGCACGCTCGCTTCTAAGGATGCATTTCGAAAGAAAGGATGTTATCATTCAGCAAGGCGAGCCTGGTAACATGTCCCTCCCTCAGCTCAGAGAAACGAAGGCTCGACTGCGCCTTCCGAAAACATGCATGTGTTTCCTCTTCAGGTTCTACATCATGTATGAAGGAGAGGCGACGTGGCAGCAGAGCCCACGTGCCCAAAGGTGCCTCTGAGGGCGGTGATGTAGGCCGATGTAAGGGTTCATGCCCGCGGCATCCGAGGTCGAGATTGTCAAGGACCACACACCGTGCAGTTCGCTCCTGCGCCACGAAACGTCGCGCGCAAATGCCAGAATGGGCCGCGCTGCCTGCGCCGCAGCTTTGAGCAGAGCTGCCAGCACTGTCAGAGACAGAGAATCCAAGCGACAGAGACTCATCGCCGTAATTAGAGACCCAATGCCAAGCGGAAAGGCGGTGGTAAGCGAAGTAAGCTGCAGACACGTGCGCAGGACGGGGAGGCAGTGGCAACGCTGGATGCCAGGATAAAAAGCGGTCGTTCGGCTTCGAAAAAGCTGGCGACACCTGTGACCGTGATGCTTCCGGAAGCCTCAGGAACTGCGCAGTTCTTTGGAGAGAAGGCTCTCCTGGAGAACGAAAACCGCACTGCGACGGCGGAGCTCTCAAGACCTGCGACATCACCACAAGAGCACAGCACAGCACGCTCCTAGGTGGCCGTGAAGAGCTCTTCAGCCAAGTGCCTCGTCTTGGACCGCGAGTCCTTCGATCTCCTCCTCGGCCCTCTGAAGGTGCGGGGGGGCGGAGGGCGGCCCGGCGGCCCTCCCCTGGGCCCTTGCCAGGACATCATCGATGCCGTTCGCGAGGGTCGGGAGCGGCCGCATCACACCGCCGCGAACCCGGCGGAGAACGGCCGCCCATCTGCGAATCCTTGAGACACCACCGGGCCACTCACTTTTGCACCTCGTGGGTGTTTTTTTTGTTGCTCAGGGTCCCTGGCCCAGAATCGACAGCGGATCCGACGGAGCGAGCTCAAGCGCATCGGCTTGCTGGGCTGCGGCGGCTTCGGGGCCGTGGAGCTCTGGGAGCACACCAAGACAGGCTGACGGGTGAGGGCATGGTGAGGGGGCCGGCAGCTCCGCAGAAAGTCGCGGCGGGGGAAGCCAGCCTCTTCTTTCAAAGCTTTCTTCCGCCTTGCGAGGCGACTCCTATGCTCTCAAAGCCATCAGCAAAGGCTACATTGTCAAGACTGGTATGCAAGAGAGCTGCTCGGATTGGAAACCGTGATCTGTTGCACAGTAGTCGTCGGTGACTGCGTGGCCCAGGCATCATGAACGAGAAGAACATCCTTGCAACTGAGCTCTAAACGTGCTGTTGTGCACATGACTTTCCGTTGATGAGTAGACCGACTGCCTGTGGTTTGGAGGCAATGACCAATTCCTCCTTTATTACGAAACTCTACGAAACCTTCAACGGGACGCAAACGCTTCTCGGCGAAAGTATCATGCAAAGGGTAGGTGGAGCACGGCAGCAAGGAAGGCGGAGCGAGGCGGACGCGTGCTGTGCATCCCAGGCTTTACTTCCTCCTGGAGCCATGCCTGGGTGGTGAGCTGTATGCCACCTACATCCGGCACCTCGCCGCACCAGTTTGAGGGGTCCCAAGGAGAGAGAGGAAGCTGAGACCTATGCGTTGTTCTGACCTGCCCGCATCTTTCAGGAAGGGCCTTTATGGCTCCGACAAGCACTGCAAGCGCGGGCCTTTGTTGGGGGGTGGCATTGCTTCAAGTGCTAGTGCTACCTTGATTAGCTACCCTCATGAGTGCTATGACAATCGTTAGGCTGATTGGCATCCTGATGATACTGTGGTGGTCTCGACGACTGAGGTTTTACACGGGCTCGGTTGTTTTTGCCTTTGAACACATGCACCAACGCCGCATCATCTACAGAGAAGCTCAGCTGCCACATTCGGTGCAGGCTTCTTTGCTTCTCTCCCTCCTCCCGGAACCCGAACACTAGGTTGGTTTGGACAAGAGTGGCCACAGGTCTCAGGACAAAGTAGACGAAAATTGTTGATGTTGGGTTTGCTAAATCTGGATTCAAGAGCGGGCTGTGCTATGCCACACCCTAGACTCGAGACGTCTCTTTCCAGACAGAAGCTGACAGAAGCGTCATCCGAGAGAGGCGAGCGCCCGAGAGAGGCGTGCGCCCACGAATCCTTGGGTCGTTGTTATCGTTCTGCTCTTCTTGCTGCTGCTCCTGTTTGCACCTCCGAAGATTTTTGTGCAGATCATCCACGCAAGTGCAACCAAGCCCCTCACGTCTGCCGGCGATCTCCGTCTGTATCAGCCAGCCAATTACGCGGAGGGGATGTGCTTAGCTCCGGCCGAGGACTTGAAGCCCGAGAACCTCCTCCTCGCAGAGGACGGCTTCATGAAACTGACAGACATGGGCCTGGCCAAGTTCGCCCTCGGCTCGAATCCACGGATCTGAGTCGGATCTGTATGTGGAAAGCCGACAGATCTCGAGGTCGTGGGTAAAACCTACACGACGTGTGGGACTCCCGACTACTTCGCTCCTGAGCTTATTGCATCCACGGGGCACACCAACGCTGCTGGCGGCTCAAGGGGCTCCCTCCACGCTCCATCTCCAGTCCAGACCTGCAGGAGCTTTTCCGCTTTCGCTTGCGAGGTGGATTGGTGGACCCTTGGCATCCTGATCTTCGAGCTCATGTCACTCGCACAAGAGAGACCAGACGATGGGCTTGGAGCTCCGGGTTCCAAAACCGAGGTCAGGTCATCCGCCTTTTGAGTCGGCATATCCCATGCCGCGGAGCTACCATACGATCTTCTTTGTTCTTCTTTTCCCTGTCACGGTTCTGTGTGACTCATGCGAGGGCCTCGCACGCCAAGGCAGATCTATGCAAAAGTCACCAAAGGGATCGGCAAGGTCGCTTTTCCGATGCTCGGCTTGTGTCAAGGACCTTCTCGCATTCTTCGTACGAGAGCTTTGGCGGATAAGGAGCGTGATGAAGGGGCATTGCAAGAATCTTGTGGAGTCTCAGCTGCAGCAAGGTCTAGTGAGTCTAGTGACGGTGGGAGGGGGAGGGCGCACGGCGCGCAGCCTCGCCGCTTCTGTGCTCAGGAAAATCTCCTGAAGAACGACCCCTCCGATCGACTGGCCATGCGAAAAGGTGGAGCGGACTCCTAAGCAGGTGCTTCAGGAGCGGACGCGGCGATCCGAAGTGCTTTCATCGTCGGAAGCGGTGGTCTTCGCCCGCCCAGGTGGCCAACGTGAAGTCGCACCCTTGGTTCGAAGACATGGACTGGGATCGCTTGGAGAGCCGAGGCAGCAGAACGTGTGAGGGCACCGGAGTGTGACGGTGCGGGAGGCTCTCTCGCATATATATCTCTCTCGCAGTCTCGCTAAGGAGGATGGAGTGCCAGGTGCCGTACAAGCCGGCCGTCCGAAGCCGGAAGGACCTCTCCAACTTCGTGGCCAAGAAGGAAGACGCCCCGAAAACCCTGGAGCTGCTCGGCCGATTTTTCAGGTCTCCCTCCGCCTCTTGTCCCTCTCCCCTCAGGTACATCGATCCAGGAACCGGATGGGACAAGGATTTCGCGACCTCCTACTGAGAGCCGAGGCGGGTCAATGTGTTAAAGAAGGGAGTCCTGGAGTGGGGAAGAGACTTTGTGCTCAGGATGGCCTGCGAGGCCTGCGAATCGCGAGATCCTCTTATTTTTTTTGGTGCATGTTGTAGTAATTGTAGTATTGTAGTATGCCGGAGCTGCAAGACTTCCTGCGCGTCGCCGCCTCTTCAGCTGTAGGGTATGATATGGCGGTCCGGTGAGCTAGATGCAGAGGTTCTGCAGCAAATTCGCAAAGACCGCGCCTTCGCCGAAGGCAGAAGCCCGTGGTTGCCTGCAACGCGACACATTAGTGACAGCGCCAGGGAATGACTGAACAACCACAGCGGCCCAGCCCCAAGCACCCCTTCGCCTTTCTCTGGACGTCCATGCTCCAGTCCTGGCCGGGAAAGACCAGAGCCGACCAAGTCGACGTGCTGGAAGTTATGTGCTATTTCTGGAAAAGACAAAGAATCATTTGCCCGGATGCAGAACAGAAGGAGAATTTTCAGCTTGTGGCGACTGCACGTGGAGGCGCTTACAGCCTCGATGGCCCTCCGGGGCAGATCCGAAAGAGTCGCTGGAAGGCCAGGCGGGCCGGGCGTGCCGGGGTGTCCTATGCCGGTTCTGCTCTGCTTCGCAGGCGACCACGCGGAGCGGCTGCACTTGGGGGCGGCGCCTGAAGAACTTGCATCCCGAGGTGGGAGCGAGTCGATACGGAGTCGCAGGCAGACGGAGTCGGAGCGGTGTCCTTCTGAGGAGCGCGCCTACATTACCCAGACCAGCGGAGCACGCATGAGCCGGGGCCTGCGGTGCACCCCCGACGGCGCGTCACTCTGTGTATCGCTGTGCTGCAGGCTACGGCGAGTGGATGCGCTATCGACCAGGTCGGGCCTTGCCATGCCTTGCCCTTTGCCCGCTGCATCTGGTCGGTTCTGGCCTCGCCGAGGCGAATGAGAGTGGCCTGGGCCACCGCGGCTCATGGCCTGGCACGGGGCCCGTTCCTGCTTAAAGCAAGAAGCGGCGCCCTCCGTGCTGCGGCTGCGACCTGGGAGTGTGCGCTGTCACTTGCCGGACCGTCTCACACCGCCTAAGACACTTCTCAGAAAGCAGGCCAGCAGCGTGTTCCGAGTGTGCACGCAAACCTACACAGAGGGCCCTTGCTTCCGCGACTCCTCTCGGATGCTTTGGCTCCAGTCTCGTCAGCGCAACTCCCCAGCTAAACATCTTGTCGCTCGGCCGCGTTATGCCCTCTGGCCCTCTCATGCCCTCTCCCTCTCTCCCTCTCTCTCCTTCTCTCTCCCTCTCTCCCTCTCTCTCCTTCTCTCTCCCTCTCTCCCTCTCTCTCCTTCTCTCTCCTTCTCGCCTCTCTCTCCTTCTGCCAGGCCCCCGGTCCTCCGGACCCATGCTGCCCGTGGAGCCGCGCTTGAAGCCTTTGTGCCGGGCGCTCAGAAAGCCGCTGCTTTTTTGCCGCCAGCGCTTCGCTCGCGCCCTGGGGCACCAGGTGCGACCTTCATCCATTACATAGACAGCAAAGAAGGCAAAGACGCCTGCAAGGCGCAGCCTTTTCGAGGCTTCAGGTGTTTCCAGGCTCAGTTCCAGGGACTGATCAGATGGGCTGGGATCTCCACTCTCGAAACGAAGTGCTGATGCTTCAATTGCCGAAAGGGCCGCAAGCTCATCCGCTGCCACAGCTTCAGTGGCTATGCCCCTGCCCAAGCATCGGCTCGACAGTTCTTGGTTGACTGCGGATGTTGTCAGGTTCCATATCACCTTGAGCAGGAGGAGGGAGAGATTGCAGAGAACATTCCGCGGCTTGTCGAAACAGAGAAGCGTGCTGGCCGAGCCGTGTTAGACAGAACCTGGTGAGATGAAATAGCTTTCCATTCCCATTCCGGAACTTGTTGGGTTCGAAGATGAAGCAGGCTCACGTAGCCTCAAGCACTCATACCTGCTGTGGTAGTAGCGCTTTCCGTTCCGTTGCAGTTCGGCTTCTGTTGCAGCCTTGAAGTCTCGGGATAAAATCGGGTCTACGCGTCCAAAATAAATTAGCCCTTCCCTTGAACTGGGATCAGAGAGCTGTGTCGTCAACACGAGCCCCGAGGTCCAACTGCTCTGGCAGCAGCGCTGCCACCCCGGATACAGACATCGGGGAAGAAGGCGGGGCGGGTGCAGATTGCATAAGAAAGCCTCTGTGTCACTTCTGTGCAAGTCGCTGCTCAGGCTCTGCGGCTAAGGCGCACTTGCAGAAAGCCGAGGGTCTTTGTTGCTGAGGGTCTGTTGGAGAGGGCTCTGGGCGGAGGCGTGGCCGGACACGGACGACGAGTGGGAAGGCGAGCTCGCAGCGAGCGGAGGGAGCGGAGGGAGCGGAGGGAGCGGAGGCGCCGAGTGTTCTCCCTTGGTTTCGTTTTCTGATGCTCGGAGGTTCGGAAACATCGTTGAAATCGGTCCCAACAGTGGCACTGGTGGCATTTTCCTCGGAGTGAAGTCTGCAGACGCCGCGCAGAAGATCAAGAGCCTTCAGAACCGAGGATATGTATGTCCCCCAAGTCGAGGAGATGGTGCCATGCCAGGAGGCAATGGCAGTGTGGACCTGGGATATGCCCAACTTGCCAGAAGAGAAGGCCAGTCTCCCGGCGAGTTTTGCACGGGGACCCTCCGGTGCCCGTGGTTGCCTTCGCCAGGTCATTGAAGGCGTCTGCCGAGCAGTGACAGAGGCCTCAGCAGCCGCGACCTCTTCGCGGTTTTTTGTTTCGCGGCTCTTCGGCCCATCGCTTTGCCACTTTTTTCGTTCATGGGTCGCGTGAGCAGGCAGCTGCAGGAGCCCCCAGCGGGCGTCGCAACTGCTCCAGCCTGAGACCGTCCGGAGAAATGGATGCAGGTGACGAGGTGACGATGGTGATGCAGGTGCAGATGCACGTGCTGCAGTTGTGGGCCAGGTTTCAATTACATCGGTGAGCCCCCGGATATCAACAGCTATGTCTGGCAGCTGTACAGGAGCCGACTGCACGCAACCGGTAGCACTTGAAACCGACATTGTCGACTGCAGGAACTGCTGCTGTGACACGATGACCTTCGTCTTCCACTCAGCAGGGGCAAGAGGGTGTGCTCTGCCCCGTCCTGCATCTGAGCGGTGGTGCTCTTTGAGGTCTGGGCCTTCGCTTACCTGTGCCGGATCTCCGAGAGCAACCGCGGCAAGGCAGCCGAGTGCCTTTCTAGCCGGGTGCAGGCGGTGCGGGGTTTTTGCTGGGCAGGTGGACGTGAGCACACAGACCATCCACCGGCTCCTCCTGGCCGCCCCGTGGCCGAAGTGCACAAGACACCACGACTCCCCGCGAAGGGAGCCTTTTTCCAGCGAGTTTTGCCGACTCTGAGGCGGTGACTGTCGCAGCGAAGTCTGGCTGGCCTTATCTTTGATGCTTGTAGCTTCTGAGCGAGTCTTTCTGCTCGTAGTGCGTTGTCTGCCAGGCAGCAGCAGCTTTATATGTACGATAACAGCTTCTACGCGCAAGTCCGCGTCCCGATGTGCGAGTCTGGCATTCTTGACAACGTTTTCGTGGATGAGGCCGGCAATGTAAGCACAGCGGATCTGAACAAGCTCGAGGAGCGGAGCGGTTTCGCCCCATTTGCCTGAAGCCCGCTGCCCGCTGAGCTGCAAGGCACGGTTTTTGGAGTTGCTCAATTGGAATCTCGACGTTTGCCCCAAGACTTTCAAGAGGCCGAGACAGGGAGCCTTTGCGAAGCCCAACTTGAGATTGAGCGTCCTCAGGATTTTTCGCCTCCTTTGCAGAGCTGCAGCGTGACGAGACACGGTCTTTTTGGAAAGTTCAGATCCGCGCTGGGGAAGAAGCTTTTCGCATGGCTGTCAAGTGCCTGTGCCTCCTTGGGCTGATCAGCTTCAGTTCTCTACGACTCTACGTGCTTTCTTCTGTATTCACCTCTCTTAAGATTCTCGTGAACGACACTTTTGGCAAGTGGCAGCATTTTGCAGTTTGCAGGAACAAATCATGCAGCAAATCCAGTGCTCGACGGTCTCAAATCCACGATTGTCCCGTCTCGGCACTCGGATGGCAAGATAGGCATCGGCATAGGGCAAAGCAGCTTCACTTCTATTGCTGTAGGTCACGATCGTCGATACAAGATTCAGAAGTATCACTTTTGTGGAGATGCCTCCCTTGCAGCTTCGCAGCCACTAGACCTTGAAGTCTGCTAGCACTTCGTGCAGCAAAGACTTCAGTAGCGCAGTAAAGTTCTCACCCGCAGCTGCCCAGCAACAGGTGAACCTGTCCCTACTGTTTGGTTCCTGTGCACTGATTCTCCACTGTTAGACATATCAGCCTTAATTCCGAAATCTTGTGTCGATCAAGCAGCGAACGATGCGTAGATGCGGGATTTTTTCGGAATTCACTAGTGTGGTCGACGGGGTCGGCTTACAACGTATTGTCTGTGACTGCCTGCACGTGTTCATGGCTCTTTACTAGACATGCTCATCGCGAATGTGTGGTGTTTGCATTTTGCACCGAAGCTCTCAGGAGCTGTTGGCCACAACTTGTCCAGCGGTCCGCCAGCATGTAAAGAGTTGAAGCATTTACCAGAGCATCTGAAGAGTTTGCGAGCGGTGAAGCGAAGCCACCGGCGACCGTTTGGAAGGAAGCCCCGTTGAAGATAAGAGCTCAGAGGACTCGGGGAGTAGCCCCTCATCAGGCCTCCTGCGACAGTTTGGAGATGCGCTTTTAAGGCAAGCGCCTCCTTCATTTGGATTATGCAGTCAAAGTGCTGCGCAAGCGAGCTGCAAAGCTGTGCAAAGCTAAGAGCAGCCGTGTGACAAGGCCTTTGATTCACTGTAGGGTGCTGCAGCAGGATTTCCTGCAGCACACGGGCCATCCTCTCTCGGGCCATCCTCTCTCGCTGGCACAGTTAGCACGTGCCGCGGCAGTTGCAGCCCTACAAAGGACCGACAACTTGTTTCGCAGTTGCCGTCACACCTTTGAACACTTTCAAAACAGCGATGCCAGCGTGCACCATCTGCTCAGCGGCAAAGCTTAACCTATTGATTGAATCTTTTGACTCGCAGTGGTCACCGCCAACGTGCGGCCCTTGAAGACCTGCAGTAATAGGTCTTTTCGGGACGTTTCCCCCAATGGGCAGAGATTATGTCATGTGTCGTGTTGCTGCCCGAGTTGCCAGGTCTTTTGGTTTCTTGGCGATGGCGGTAGTAGACCACACCAAGGCGTTGGAGTGGCTCTCAGAAGAATCCCATCCGGCTCTGGCCGAGACTCCGGATGATGTCCAGATGTGGCATGCCCAATTTCCGCGATTCGGGCCCCCAGGCAATGCTTGGCTGTTTCCAGGAGTCGGCAAGGTGCCGCTCCCTATTCCGTTTCGGGCTCTCCGATGTTCTACAATCGACACTCCCTTAGCGTTGTACTGTTGGGTAGCGCGTGGGCCGCCTGAACATGACTAGGACTAGGACCTAGCTAGGACCTAGCTGGTGTCGCTTTGCTTGAGGATCGACTTGTCTTGGAGCCGGAACGATGTCAGAGAGTGGTGAGCACTGCGGTCGAGATATACCTATATATAAATCATATGCCTTGGAGTTTCTACAACGGTGCGACCCGCATCCGAAAAAGGGTCCAGGTCTTCTGCTGCAAGTGCCATGACCTTCGCAGCCACGTGTGGGAGATCCTAGGGAGAAACAAAAACAGGAGCACGCTGCATCGGCCCGCAGAGCGCAGCCCCGCGCTTCTCTGTCTATGTCTTTCGGTTGCGTTGAGTCCGCGGCAGCGATGCCGGAGAGGCGCGGGGCGGAAGCGTGGTGGAAGGGCGGGGCGCCTTCCCTTTCTTGCCTCTGGTCGTCAGGCGCCGGCCGGCGATGGAAGGCGATGGTAGAAGGAGGCCAAGAGCACCCGCCCACCCGCCGCGCGCCCTCCGCGCACGGCGGGCAGGTTGTCGAGGAATTGTGAGCGGGTGCCCCCTTCCAGGTCCGTGAGGCGGCCCCTGCTGCTGGTGGCCTCCTTGCTTTGCTTGCCCAGCGCTTGGGTTTTCGGGTTTTGGGATTTGGGCTCCGGCAGTCGGACAGAGCTTGTTTGAGGGCCGTGATCGAAGCCATGTGCCAGGCTCGCAGGCCTACCGTTTCTGCTTCGCGTTTGCGCGTTGCCTCGTGGGGCAGGCGCAGCGCTTCATCGGACCGCTGGGCGAGCCGGCAGCTCGCCCCAGACGCGGAGCGACGGGCTTGGGGCTGCCTATGGCTGCCTATTTCTCTTGCAGGCGAAGAAGTCGGAAGAAGCGGCGGGGTCGGTCGCGGGGCAGGAACCAGATGAGAAGCTGCACGGCTGCAAACGGACACTGCAGCTTACTCGTACCCGGTCTCGATCCATTGCCTGAACACGCAGGCCTGACTGGAAGGACGTGGGCCAGCTCAGGATTTCGACTGGAAGGGAGCTTGTGATGCTATCTCCCCGCATTTTGAGGAAGCATATCAGCGACAGCTAGAACGGATCAATGCGCGAAAAAGGACTTGGTCAGGGCCGTGCTTTGGGGGTTTCATGTCGCACGTGTTTGCAGGAAGCAGTCGCCGGACTACAAGGAGTCCGCCTACGAAAGGAAAGTGCGCTTGCGCAAGGCACGTGGTTGCGGCAAAGGAATGGGGAGGGTGGCCTTTGCAAACGCAGATGGCGATGTGGAATGCGGCGCAGAGGAAGGGCGTGAACGAGGCGCTGGCTTTGCGGAATGAGGGAGGCCCCGGCACAGCTCGAAAGAGGTGGGTGCGCGAGACTCCACTACCATCGACATCAAGGTGCCCTCTCTAGAAGCGGGAGTGTCGGGAAGTATACGGGGGGACGAGAGGTGAAGCTGCTGAAGCCCTTCGGCATCGAGTTCGAAGAACGCCGCTGGCTCTGGCTTCGCTCCGCTGCGCTCCGCTGCGTGTCTCCGCTCCGCTCCGTGTGAGGCGAGGATGACCCCAACAGAGTTTGGGTCGGCCGAATACTGGAGGAAGGATCAGCCTTCAAGAACGGAGAGGCGTGTAAACGGCACTGAAAAACCGCGAGTCTGAGCTCGGCTCTGGGCAGGTGGAGACCGGGGACTTCCTCACCACGGTGAACGGTCAAGACGTCCGCTGACTTTATTTTGCATCGACTCGCAGGGCTTCAAGGTTGCAGGAGCTGTTGCAGGTGTTGCAGATGTTCTGAGATTGCTGTGCCCTACTTGTCAAGCCTTCCTATGGTGAGCCGGCGGGCACTCGGCCGATTTCCGCTGTCGTACTCGGTCGAGGTTCCGCGCGCACCTCGTTTGCCAACAGCATTTGCACGAAGTTTTTGACAAGCCTCCCAGCGGGAACACCAGGATGTCGAAAGCCAGAAGCCTCGCCGCGTCAGCACATGGGGCAACGTGCCACGAGTCCGTAATCAAGCGAGGCGTGCCACAGAAGCGGGTCACGTGTGAGTCTCTGATCGTTTATCTCGCTCTCTTCCGTCAGCCGCGGTTGCGAAGATCCTCAGGCATCGTTTTGGGACAGTCTTTCATCCACAAGTGTCGACAGTCATAATAAATTCAGAAAATCATGCGTCTAGGGGTGGAAGCTCGCGATCCTCGTAGCTGTCGTTGTAGTTGGGCCTCGAGACACGTTTTGTGGTTACCTCGTGTCCATCAGGTGCTTCGTCGAGCCCCGGCTCCTTGCGTGCATTGGTAACCCCCATGACTGCGGCATCATCTTTCTGGCGCTACCCACCCCACCGATGCGGACAGTCTTCCTTAAGTGAAGTCCGTCGAGTCACTGCGCACCCTGCTCATCGTACGTTTTCGGCTTTGGGGGGCTCGTGCACTGCAGATATCTGCAAATCAATCATGCAGCTTCACGGCCATCCAAGATGACAACAAATGTGAGGGGCCGCGCGACGCCATGCGATATACGGATCTATGGCAGGTGGAGGGCAAGCCCTACGATGAAGCCTTGCAGTACCTCGTGGATGCCGAAGGTCCGGAGTAGTCGCCTTTCGTTGATAACGCTCTCTGAGCTGTTTCGAGGTGAGATTGACCTGGTCTTCAAGCGCATCTACGTGGCCTGAGAAGCGCGTGTTCGACAGTTTCCCCTGCCCAAGGCACCGCTGAAGCGATCGGTTGCGAGCTGCTGAGCTTCGCGCCTTCTCCCTCCCTTTCCCACGGGCTCCCACCACTAGGCTTTGGCCTCTCGAGAACGCAATTTTCCGCTTGTTTCTTTGCCGCCAACCGACAAAAGAGTGAGGTCGCACCGGCATGCGTCGGCACCTCTTTACCGTGGCATTCAGTAAGAGACATGTGAAGTAATTTCGAAATCCGAAGAGGATGGTGGCGGATTTGAGTGCACAGTTTCGGCCGTTTGATCTGCAGTATGGGTGTGGACACCAAAAGACCGAGCAGACGATGAAGCGTTTTCCGAGCACCATGGAATAGCACTGCACGTGACTGCTGCTGCAACCGAAGATGGTTCAAAGCCATGGGACCTTGCCAAGCCGGAACTTGCCTTTGGCTCCGGGAGAATGCTTTGCAAACCGAAGGCATGTTTCATGGCATTCTTGTTGGATGCATGAAATGAAAGTTGTCAGAGGCCCGCTGCTTCTGCATCGTCCACCCGGAGTCTGAGCAGTGTCCAGACATCAGCTTCAGCCAGACCTCCATCCAGATGAAGCTTCCCTGCGTAGGCCTGCTGCTTTTCATGTCACAAGAAGTTCGGACCTTCCAGCCGGCAATCCGCGAGGTGAGGGGCCACGAGGGGAACAGGCCCAACAGCATCGCATGGGCCCCCGGGCCCCTGGGTGCACGGAGGGAGGGGCTGCTTTGCGTTCGGAAGGCGGAGGACGTGCTGCGGGACTTCGCCTTCGACCGGGTCTTCAGCCCGGGCCGTCCGGGTTCGGGCCAGGCGCGGATCTTCCAAGAAGTCGCCCAGCCCGCCGTCCAGGCCAGGCGGTCGGATCCTGCAACCGAACCGAGTCATCCCAGTCATCCGAGTCTAAGTCAGCGCAAGAGGCAACAGCATAGCGGCATAGCGGTTCGGAACTGACTGAGGATGCCGTGGAGCGGCTGGAGAGCTGCTGCTTCCTGGCCCTGGGATGCAGTGGCCACGGGAAGACCTTCGCCGTGACCGGGGGACCCCGGCGCTTCGAGGATCGAGGCCTCGTGCCACGTGCAATCTCCTGCCTCTTCGAGCTCTTGAATGCCAAGACGAACCGGGAAGACTTCCAAGTGAAGGTCTCCTTCTTCGCCTCAGGGCCGCATCAAAGACCCGAATCTCAATTTCTTGTGTTCTTCCTTGGCCTGAGAGTTTTTGAGTCTTTCCTCTTTTTTTTAGACCTGTACTTTTCGAGGAGCTCTACAGGGACAGCTTCTTGGACCTCCTCAGCAAGCGGGCTCCGGTGAACAGCCGGATTGGGCAGAGCCAGAAAGAAAGGATGCCGTGCCCGATGGAGCTACCGGCTGCGCAGGCTGCGTGCGTCAGCTGCCTGAACGAGAGCGAGGCGTACCAGCGGCTCTTCGAGGGTGACGCGCGCCGGCATTTCGAGAGGCTGCCGAGGAACCCAGAGACCTCCCGGGGCCACGTCTTCTTCCAGCTTCACATCCAGAAGGAGGGGGCCGGGGAGACCAAAGAGGCCGTCCTCTCCTTCGTGGACCTGGCCGCAGGCGGAGGGGGAGGGGCGCCTGGCCCTCGAAACCAGGCGACGGAGAGCATCGAAAGGAGCTTGCAGGAGCTGCGGCAGCTGGCAAAGAGCGCCCTTTGTGGAGGGCTTAAGCCGGAACCGTTGCCAGAACCGGGGCTACTCTGTTCATTGCTGCTGCCCTGGCTGCGGCCGGCCGGCTCGTCTCTGCCTTCTTTGGTGACCTTGTTGCCTTTGAGGTGGCAGAAGCAGAGCGGCAGCGAAATCTACGACTTCTTGCAGCTTGTCCGCATCCTGCACCAGGCTGCGAAGAGTCGCAGCCCACAGAGAAATGGAGCGGGACCTCCGATACCACGAAGCCCACAAAGCCAGGAGGCAGACACCGCGAACTCGCCAAGCGATGCTTTGACCACCTGGTCGCCTTGGTCAGCCGTGGTGGTTCACAGCCAGAAGGATTTTGACGGCGAAGAGAAGGAACGGACCGAGGCGGAGGAGGCGGAGGTCGAGGTGGCTCGCCCCAGGCCAGTTCCCGTGAAGTCCGAGTTGCCGGAGCCGCTGGCACCGCTGGGACCGGTCACCGGCCTCGGCGGCCTCGGCGGCCTCGGCGGCCTCGGCGGCGGCCTGCTGCGGAGCCTTCCAACCCCGCTGCGGGGCTCCGGGCCTCCTCGCTTGAGCGAGGCTCCGCCTCCGCCTCCGCCTGCGCAGTCAGGTCTGCCTGCCGCTACATGTCCGACAGAGCTCTCGGAGCCCCGTGCTGGTGCCTCCTCGGCAGCAAGCACTCCCATCCGAAGGCCCTCAGTGATCGCTCCAAGACGAGTGTCTCTGACAGCAACTTCGCAAAGAACGATGCTTCCTGCAGCGCTACCAGGGCACTGCACGGTGCGGTGCGCTGTGTCCAGGTCACCAAGTCCCTGGCAGATCGCAGGCGCTCCGTTGCGGCCACGGAGCTGCGACACGAGAGCGCCGGGTTCCGTCGGTTCCGTGCCGGTAACCGCGCCTTTGAATTGGGGCTCCGGTGCCGGCCCCATCGGCCGACCTCGGGCTCTTGAGAGAGCGCACACGGCTTGCGCGGGGATCCCAGCGTGACGAGTGGAAGTGCACTGCACCGTCTGTCGCGAGATGTCGCGAGTCAGGTCCCGGCCGTCCAGGCTGTCCAAGGCATCCCCGTACCGTTTTCGCTGGCCTACTCGTGCTACTCTTCTGGCGCCTCTGTGCCCGGGCCCGAGCAATCCACGGCAAGCATGTTCGGATTGATTACATGAGTATCGCAGGCCGTCGTATTCGCCGGTGCCGATGCGAAGATACCCGCTGCTTGCCTGCCTGAACGCCGTGAGAGGAAAGCTTGCTCTCTGCAGTGCAAGTGGCGAGGTGGTCCTTGGGCGCTGCTGGTGAGCGTAGTCGCAGCAGTTCTCCCTGCCCTCGTCCTGCCCTTCACAGGAGCTGGGGGCTGCAGCACTTAAAAAGAACCCTTCGCATAGAATCGCTGTGACGATATGCCGATGCTTGAAGCATTGGGTCAGCGAAGGGGAGATCTGTCTTCTGACTTGTTCTTCGTAGCACCTATTTGGAAGTGAATAGGCCTGAGGCTTTCTCTTATCATCGCTCGCAGGACAGGGTCTGTGCCCAGGGTCCCGCCTTTGGTGGCGAGGTCTTGGATCCCGGCAGGCCCGTCCACCTGTGTTCAGCAGACAACAGAATGCCAGCATGCAAGGCTGACGAATCCTGAGCAGGCTTGACTCCAATTCGCTTTCGCGGACTGGCTGGCGGCGACATGTCAGTCTAATTGGGAGCTTTGCTTCCCGACCAGTGCCAAACCACTGTTGCGAGGTGCTGTGCCTGCTAACAAGACAAGACGTGCGTTGCACTGCATTGGCATCTGGGTTGTCCCCGCCCTCCGCGCATGGCCTTTTGGAGAGCCCTTCCTAGCCGAATCAAAGAAATTAGAAGGACACTGCGCCCAGCCCGCCTCAGCCAGGTGCACAGAGCCAGCAGAGTCTGTAAAGCTCAGAGCCGAGGAGAGCGGGGGGCTTCTGAGAAGGCGCCCGCCCGTGCAACCCCCCTAGGTGCCTATAGGTCTAGGAAGGTACAGCGTTGGTTCGCGTTCTCTGAGCACATGGCGGCCTGCGCCACGCCAGCGGCATGGATGAAGTCGGGGTCTTCGACCACTGCGTCGGCACAGGGCGGTTGGAGGCTTGGAGGCTTCACTGGACTCGCTGACACTCTCTGACCTTCCCAGTGCCAGGGCTGGTTCTGCACTTCATCCTACGACAACGAGAAGAAAGGATGGGGCATGGGCCTGGGGATTGGGGAAGCCGGTGGTTGCGTGAGATCTCGGCTGCAGGATGGGGGCATTTGGAGTCCGACAGCTCCTTGACAGCCAATGGGGTCATTTCCAGCTGGCACCTGCGAGAGTGCGTGAGGTTTCGAGGGCCACCTCTTCTTCCACCTGCAGCGCAGCCCTTCGCTGCGAGGAGTTCGGTACTTCAGGAGGGTGCCTCGGCAGCCGAAGAGGCGTGGGTCTCTGGGGCGGAGCGCGGAGAAGCTCCCTGACCGAAGAGTCTCAGGACCCTGTGGCCTTCGAGGTGGTGGAGTTCAACGGCCGCTGCGAGGCTGTGAAGCTCCTCCTGCCGAGCAGAGAGCAGAAGGAGGCAGGCGCGACGGAGCCGGGGGAGCCCGCCCGCGCGCCTCGCGAGTTTTGTCAGGTCGGGAAGGAGCCAAGAGAGGTCTTGGGCCAGACCGTGGAGGGGCCTGGCGGCTCAAGACCATTCTCAGCGGTTGCGCTCCCTCTCCGCCCTCCGCCTCTTTCTGTTTAGGTCTTGATCTGCTGAGAACTCAGCGATCGCAGGGAAGTCTTCTCTCGCGATAGCGCGAGGCGACTGAGCTGCAGCTGGCAGCTGGTCAAGGCCCAGATCCTTGGGCCAAACTTGGGCGCAGAAGAGCACATCTCTGCTTGGCGTCCCAGTCTCCACACGTTCTTTGCCAAGCTTCTGAGCCAAGACATCCAAGGAACTGGGGTTTCGTAGTGTCGGATTTCTTCAAGGGCACCGTCTTCTGGCACGTCGTCGACAATCCCGAGATGGTGGAGCGGATGCGACAGAACCTGCCTCCGTATCGACAGCATTGCAGGCGTGGCATTTGGCAGGACCTGGAGTTCTCTCAGGATGATGTTGTGGAGTTTGAGCTCTACATCAACACCACCAGAGGCTCCATTGAACGGTCAAACACTTGATCAAGCCTCGATTGCCGCTGCAGGAGACCAGGTCAGAGCAAGGACAAGTCACACGCACACGCCGACTCACCCCATCGCAGCACACCGGTGCGATAGCGGATAGCGTTTTGAAATGGCTGCGTCTGCGAGGAAGATGAAGTTCTTGCGCGCGGCCGTCAAGGACCCGGTAGCAGAGAAGGCACCTGCCCGGTTTCGAAGGCAATGATAGACGTCTAGCAGTCTAGCATTGGGGCCGGGGAGGGGGGACACTTCATCGCTCCGACCCCGCGAAAGTTTGGCCCAATCCTAGCCGCCCGCCGCGCTGCCGCTCATGGCTGCCGTGCAGATCGTGAGAAGCCTCTCCGAAGGCATGGAGATGAATTTTGAAAGGACAGATGCGGGCGCGTCGCAGACTTATCAGCAGCAGGCTGGATCCATCACGAAAGGGTCTTATGTGATGCTCAAGGGCCATCCCTGCGCCTGTGCTCGTGACGAGTCCCTGTTCTTTTTCTTTCTTTTTTGCTTTTTTCTGGGTAAACCCAACGCTGCCGAGTTGCTTGTTTTTGTTTTTTGGGATTAGGGGTCCGAGTTAGCTTTCTTTGCATGCTATGAAAGTCTCAGCCCACTATGGTATTGTCAGCCCAAACTTATGTCGCTTGTTTCTGCGACGGTCAGGTAAGATCAAGGAGGTCAGCACCTTCAGTCCCGGCAAGCATGGGCACGCCAAAGCGCATCTGGTCGGGCTCGACATCTTTACCGGAAAGAAGTATGAGGAGACCTCACAGACGTCGCATAACATGGAGGTGCCAGTGGTCACAAAGACGGAGTATCCTTTGATGAATCTGAACGCTGACACTGGTGCTGCCAGTCTGCTTCAAGAGCCTGGGTGCTTTGTTGGCAAGAGCTTTCACATTTCAATTCATATGGGCATCTTGAACAAGCAACATGGTAATAGCAAAGAATGCTTTTAAACGAACCGAAAACGGTACCCCTATGTAAACATCCACTGTGTGAACCCAGGACAATGGTGAGTTGAAGATCGACTTGAACCTTCCTGGAGCCGGCAAGGCCAATGAAGAGGACACGCTCCAGGCCGACATTCTACGGGCCTTTGGCAACGATTTATTGATCACTGTGGTGGTCATTGCAGCCTGTGGTATGGAGAAAATCGTCAGCTTCACGGCCACGGACTAGGTGAGAGGGGTAGAGCCTTCAAAACCTCGCTGAGGGGCCCCCGCTCCAGTTGGAGCGGACGGATGTACAGATGTACAGATCGGCACACAGAAGATCAGCGAAGAGACAGGTGTACGCGATTGACGGGTTGTATGTATGTCGGTATGTCGGTACGTCGGTACGTCGGTATGTCAGTATAGGTATGTAGGTATGTAAATATATATTAATCATTTCCCTATTCATATATATATATATATACGTATATATAATATGTAGAATATGCGCACGTCGCATTTGTATACTCATATTCCGGGCACCCTCGTACAATGCAGTGTCAGGGAGTTGGGGTGGCATTATGATATCGGGCACGCGAGTTGATCGGAGAGTCAGGAGAAGTGGGTGGCATTTCGATCGCGTTGGCATGGGCTGGCTGAGGGCTCGGGGCTTTCGGGCATTCAAGGCAGGAGCAAGCGTCGGATGCGATATGGTGTCGAGCCAAGGAAAGTGCAGCACCCCCCCTATACCCCCTATACCCCCCCACACCATCCTCCCAAACCGTCGGCTCGCTGGAGCTAGTGTCCAGGAGTCACGTCGGACTCTGGGAGACTGGTGGTCGTGGGTTTCTTGTTCCGGCTGGGATGGTCTTGGGGTTTGGCCCGTGGTTCATCCTCCAGTCAACTTGAAATTCCAGAACCCAACCCCCAGAGACTTGACTCTTACAGCCCAGAAACCTACGTTCTCCGCTTCATGACCCGCTCCAGCCCTTTTGGCTCCATCCATCGATAACTTGTAGTTCAAGTTCCTCAGCAAAACCCAGTAGCATGACGGTGTAGTGGTCTATGGCGTCTGTGGGCCCCCTAAACACAAACACCCCCCTCCCGCGACCGGTGCGACAACTCTGTGAGTCCTGGCAGGCAGAAGAGAGCAGTTGCTTGTCCGAGAAGATCTGGGCCTGGACGCGAGTACACGTGCTTTCAACCTTCCTTCACTAAGGCCAGAGGCGAATGGAAAAGAAGCACCGCTGGCTCGTGAACTGGCGCAACGGGCCTCCACCGGACTGGATTTGCAAAGGACCCGGAGTCCGGGCGCGGAGGCGCTGGCGAGGTCTCCTGTGCACTGCTGCATGCACAGGCTGCAGCTACCCGAACTTCGGCAGGAACAAGACCTGCAACTCGGTCTCATTGACCCTGACAAGGCACCCAAGATACGTCTGCTTGTGTCTGAGGCAAAGTTTGTGGCCATCCACGGCCTCCCCGTGAAGAATGGCCTCCAGAAGAGCTGCGAGAGGATCGGTGAGTTAGACTTCGCAGCCATAAGTCAGACACCGTCCATCACCGTTACCCTCGCACATGGGAGACTGCCTGCCGCAGCTATCGCCACCGAAGAACTAGCTGCGGGCAGCTGAACACCCTCCCTTAAGAAAGGCACGCAGTAAACCCACTGCAACCCACTGCAATGCCGCAATGCGCACACACACTTGAGATCTTGAGATGCACTCGGAGTTCCATTGGGCGACGTTTTTTTTTTTTTTTGCGTTGCTCCTTGGAGTCGCGCGGAGGCCCCGCAGGCCCTGACGGCCCTGACGGCGCCAGGCCTTGGCGCAGGCCGCGAGGCAGGGGCAGGGCGAGGAGTGTGCAGGCTCTGGGTACAGGTAAGGTACATAAGGTACAGGTGTACGGGCCGTGATGGAAATTGGCATGTCGTGGCAAATGCGTGGGGCATCAGTGCGTCGCGAGGCCCATGGTGAAGGCGGGGACGGGGAGACGCGGGGAGCAAGCTGAGCAGACTGTCGAGTTCGAACCGATTCGATAGACGGCGAAGTCCCGTGCTCTTCTCACAGCTTTGCCGGAGGCTTTCCACTGAACGAGCCCTGTCGGCATGGCCTGCAGGGTTTGCAGGCTGCCTGGCCACCTGTGCAGCCTGTGATTTCCACTCCGCAGCCGTGCCTTCAATCACCGGGCTCCCACCCTCCGTGGCTTGGCGGAAAGTGGCTGTGCTGTCAGGGGCAGTGGCAGAAAACAACCGTGGCAGGCAGAGTGGGCCGTCGAGCACCGTGGCGCCGGAGGCCTTTTCGCTCTCGGAGTTCTTCTGAAGCTTCGCCGTGGTCCTGATTCGAAGGCCTCCCAAGCGGCGCCTCGAACGGCCCAAGGACCCGCGCCCGCGTGCTTCGCGGAGTTCAACCGGATCTTGGGGAAGGCCAAGGCTGGCGAGGAAGAGATGCTGGCGAACGCTCCTCGGCTCGGCTCGCGGCTTCGTTGTGTCCCCTCTCTGATCTCCCTTGCGATTTTTTTTTCAGGTAAAGGCTTACCTGGACGGAGTGGCCAAGAGTCTGGGAGACGGTAAAGCCAAGCAGGCCCCGCAAGAAGCCTCGCCCGCTGTCGCGCTTGCTTTCAGACTTGCGTGGCCCGGACGAAGCCGGCGAAAGCTTCACAGGAACCTAGGGTCAACGATGATAAGCTGAAGAATGACAGGATGACGAGCCTCCACACAGCATCCTTACGAAGAGCATCAACCACCTTAGCGGCCGTGAACTCCCCACCCCATTGGATTGGAGTGTACCCTGACCATGACTTCTGGATTATCCACCTCGGCACGAACCCGAAGCAGAATGCTTCTCGTGTTTTGCAGAGTCTCCGCTGCTCCCGCCGTCTGCCCTAGCTGCACTTCCGCCCCCTTCAGAGTCTCAAGTCGCGATATCAGATCAGCAGGAAAAATGACTTGCGAAAGCTGTCTTATAAAACCCACGGATGCATCCGCTTGATGGGCTCACGAGGATGCTGTGCGTTGCAATGCTGCGGAGGTTAGCCCAGGGTTTGGAGCCCTTGGGCTCATCTCCTCTGAGGGGTTGATGGGGATGGCGTAGCTGGAACAATACTGTAATGACTCGGAGTGTTCAATAAGATTTCAAGACAGGACTCTTCTGCAAATGCGCACGTACCCTATGAGGAAGATCATCTAAAGAATTGTACGAGCTAGCCATAGATTGCAAACTGGGGCCCAATCTCAAGGCTGAGGAAACCCATCAGTCGCACGCATCATCTCACAGTGCCTTCCTTCGAGGCTGACTGCTCAGTCTTGAGCCATTCGCACATCGATTTGTGCGTGTCATCCGATCCTTTGTGGTGGCCATGCTTCCTTGCGCAGGGGCCATGCAACTCTTCTCTGAGGCAAAAGTTCATGCACAACGAACTTATGACTTGTTGTGTGACTTCCCATCATTGCGGCATGGTGCCATGATTGCTTCATGGTAAGGCCGAACCCTGTTGCGATCCTTCTCTTCATGGCCCAGCTAGCAACATTACATCTTGGTACTGATAATTTCAGGTGCGACGGGTACTTTGCCAGTTTGGCTCTTTGGATTGTTGATGTTTTCCATGTTTTTCTTTTCTCCACGTTTCTCCGGCAATCCACGGGGACCACGGCCTTCTGCCCTAAGTTGCAGCGCAGGCCTTTGCTGTGCAGCTGGCCAGGCTCGGGTGTTGCGGTGTGTTCTTCTCCTCGCCTCTGTGTGAAATGTCTCCCACCAAGGCATCCATGGTTTCAGATGCCAGGCTGCACTAAGAGCTGCGAGCGCCTTTGTCGCTTTGCCACAGCCGAGGACGGGCTACGAGCTCCGCTTCCGACCCGGCGCCGGGAGCTTCGACGTCGCGCTGACGCCAGCTGCCCGGGTGCCTCAGCTTGAAGTCCGCCCGCAGTTGCCGAAGCTGGGATATAGGAGGGGGGCTCCAGTTGACGCTGGTCTCCCTGCCAACGAGGCGTTGAAGCGCAAAGCCGCAGCGCTGGGGTAGGGAAAGATTCAGAAAAGGCTCGTGCGCATGCCATGGAGCCGCTGTCGGTTTTTGCTTCGGCTGCTTGCCGTCCCAAAATGGACATGTCACACCTTGGTGCTTTTGCTCAAGCGCCGCCGCGCGGCTGCCAACACTTGCTGCCAATTTGCAGTCTTTGCCTGCCCCGGCTGTGTGGCTGCGGCCTTGGCCTTGGAAGGGAAAAGACTTCGTGGGGGCTCCAAGTTGTCGCGACGCAGGCTGCAGTCTGGAGCCATGCCGGACATGGTGGGGAAGAAAGTGGGTGGCAGGGCAACTTCGATTGAAGCCGGGCCAGAGAGTCGTGCGCTTGAAGCTGCGCACGGGGATCCAAGGTTGTGATGGTTTCCTCACTCGATGAGGGCCACCCCGTTTTCGACTCAGCCAGTTCGAAGGATCGTCTGCATTTCTGCGGGCGCAGCTGCTTTTGAAAATGGAAGTTGAAGCTCAGGGCGAGAACATCATCGATGGCCGGGAAGAGACCTACTGGATCTCCACGGGCCTCTATCCTCAGGCGGGAGCAGCTGCACGGAGCGGCGCGCGGGCCTGCGCCTTTGCCAATTTTGCTCGTGTCGGCAGGAGATCCTCCTCAGCATGAGCGAGCGCTCGATGGTGTCGACCGTGAAGATCGTGACGAGCAACGTTCGGTCACTCCGTTCCTTGCCTGGGCTCTGTAAGTAATGCCTGCCGAAGTCGAGGGCTTCTTGCGGTTCCCTCCAGTCGAACAACGGCCATTCACTTCTCCCTCTCTCTCTCTCTCCGTCTTTGTCTCTCTCTGTCTCTGTCTCTCGCTCTGTCTCTCTCTCTCTCTCCGTCCGTCTTTGTCTCTGTCTCTCGCTCTGTCTCTCTCTCTCTCTGCCTCTCTCTCCCTCTCTGCCTCTCTCTCTCTCTCTCTCGCTCTCTCCCTGTGACTGTCCAAACTCCTGAAGGAATAGAAAGCTGCGCAGAGGACGCTCTGAAGCGTAATGATGTGTTTCCCGGGCCCGACCTTGTTTGCCGATCAGGACGACCCTGTGAACTTCAAGACCTTGGCCGAAGACGAGTTGGAAGAGTTGCGGCTTCCTCGGTTTTCGCTTCAGGCTGCCTTTGCAGTGCGGCGGGCACAGGTCAGGCCGTCTGCAAGTCAAGGAAATCCCTTGTCAGGCCCAAAGCGGCTTCAGGTACTGCGGTGCTGTAGCAGCTGTGGCATTGTGCGACTCTGCATCGCCGAAAGGGCGTCGAGCCTGCCGCCTACATCAAGGTGCTGATTCTCTCAGGCCCGATACATGTACTGGACACCATGTTGCAGCATCTCATTTCCGATGAAGCACATACGCTGCAGCAGGCTATCACGACTTTTGTACAGTTCACCGCGTCATGGTCGAGTGAGGCTTGGGAGGTGCAGTCCACGGCCCCACGGCCCCACCTTTCGAGGCTTAGGCTGAGAAGCAGCCTATGCAAGTGTCGGATCTTGGCCTTGCACGGTCAGATCCTATGCATGGCAGCTAAATATTGCTGCGAATCTGTGCTCGTTTGCGAGAAAACAAGGCTGGACAGGACGTGCACACGTGCCTTTCGGTGTCTGTAGTTTATTACTCCATGGAAGTATTGGTGGTTTGAGCTGCAGCCGTGTAGACAGCGCCGCACGAGACGAGCAGAGACCCAGAACATCCACATGCTTGTGATTCGCTTCATCATGGAAGGGAAGTAGGCGCATCAAGCCTCCTGCCATGTCCGACCCACAGATTCCGGAAGCATCGAGCTCTCCGGAAGCGAAGGATGCAGATGCTTCCGACGCGGTTGATGCGATGGAGAGCAGTGACGGGAGTGAGTCTGACGATGACTCCGCCTCACCTAGGGCAAGGTCCGGCTATGTGGTGGACAACGAATCTGGCGTGGCGCTGCTCCTTGAAACCCGATGTAGAAACGGTGCTAGCAGCACCCTGGTCAGTGCCTGGCGATGTGGGAAGCTGGTTTGGGAGCATCAGATTCGAGGAAGCGTAGAGCATACGACGGTGGCTGAGGGCTTCGTCGCCTTTGCGACGCACACAGCCCTACACTTGCTCAGCACAGTGGGCGGATATGCGCTGTTCCCGCCTATGGACCGAAACTTAGCTTTGCAGTGTTTTTTGGTCCTAGGTGGTCCAATCTTCTCTTGGGCATCACTGCATCACGTTCTTTGATCTTCTCTAGTGCACTTTCGCTTCCCAGCAGCAGACGTGTCAGGCATTCGCTCACTTAGTTTGCATTGACTCGCGGATTTGTTCGCGCAATCTTGATGCAAGCTGACCATCCTCACTCTCAAGCGGTTTCAACTGCCGGCTATTACTTCCGCGTGCTTTGGTCCTTTGGGAGGCATCGCAAGCCTCAGTCATGCCGGAACCGGAAGCCTCCCTGGGGCCAGGGCCAGGGCCGGGCGGATCAGAGAACTTCTCTACTTGTAAAAAAAAGGCAGTGGCAGCTCTCTACAGGGAGCATGGAGAGCGATTCGCAGTGCAAGTGTTTCCTTTTTTGGAGAGGCTGGGCGAGGGGGGTGCAAGCAGGAGCTTCAGACGGAACCATGACAACAATGCGGGAACAGCGAGAAGAACTACAGAACACCGTTTCGATATGCTGCTGTCGCATCATTGATTACCTGACCTTTGACGAGAGTTTCTGAGTGATTCGGGTACTAGAAATGTAGGCTGGATACACTATATCTATCTTCCCCCGTGGTTTCTAACACTTCTTGATCCCCGGCTCCGACATCTGAAGCTTGCTTCGTTGGGAGCCAATCAGAGGTTGCTTCAAGGCTAGGGCTGCTGACGCCAATTACCGTTTCTTTTGGATTCTAATGACGCCTGCTCCGAACTCGGTGTTTTCCCCTAATCTAATCAGAAATAGACTAGGCCTAGGTTTTTGGAGAGACACGAGGGAATTCGGTGTTTTCCGCTAGTCTAATCAGAAATAGACTAAGTCTTTGGAGAGACACGGGGGAGTTCGGTGTTTTTCGCTAGTCTAATCAGAAACAGACTAGGTTCTTGGAGAGAAACGAAAAAATCGGTGTTTTTCCGCTAATCTAATCAGAAATAGACGAGAAACGAAGGAGTTCGGTGTTTCCCGCTAGTCTAATCAGAAATACACTAGGTTTTTGGAGAGAAAAGAGGGAGTTCGGTGTTTTCCGCTAGTCTAATCAGAAACAGACTAGGTTTTTGAAGAGAAACGAGGGAGTTCGGTGTTTTTCGCTAGTCTCATCAGAAACAGACTAGGTTCTTGGAGAGAAACGAAAAATTTCGGTGTTTTTCCGCTAGTCTAATCAGAAATAGACTAGGTTTTGGGAGAGAAACGAGGGGGTTCGGTGTTTTCTGCTAGTCTAGTCAGAAATCGACTAAGGTTTTTGAAGAGAAACGAAGGACTTCGGTGTTTTCCGCTAGTCTAATCAGAAACAGACTAGGGTTTGGGAGAGACACGAGGGAATTCGGTGTTGTCCGCTAGTCTAACAGAAATAGACTAAGTCTTTGGAGAGAAACGAAGGGGTTCGGTGTTTTCCGCTAGTCACTTAGTCTAATCAGAAATAGACTAGGTTTTTGGAGAGAAACGGGTCAACCAGGGTTTACATGTTTAGAGCTTGGTTCCCTTAAAATCGTTGCAGGGTTCTGTTGCTTATTTCTGGCGTGGTTACAACCCAACCTCTGCAAGCAGAAGATGCGCGATGTCAAAAGAGACTAGACACCGAGGCAAACATGCAACCGATGAAAACAGACTCATGTCGCTGTGAGCCTGTAGGGATGGTGTCGGAGGTTATGACACGAGAGCATCTCTCCTCCTGGCGTATACCCAACGGAGCCGAACACTTGCATGCAAGTGGAGGCGGAGAGCTCTAGGGATTGCTCGGCCCTTTAAGGTGCTCGACAGCCGCGTCTTGCAGCTGGACATCCGAACTGGAGGCAACGGCTCCGAAGCCGCAGAAGCGAAGCAGCGAAGCGTGCGAAGCGTGCGGCTCTTTTGCCTCTCGTTCTGGATTCGGCGTCGCCTGGAGGCTTCCTGCTGGTGCTGGGCTGCGACAGCCGGCTGCGCGTCCTGGACCTGCGGTCGGAACGCCGGGCCCTGGTTTTGGGGCAGGGCGAGGGACCGCCACGGCCGCCTTTGGCGCCTTCCGGGAAGCTACTCTTTCTGCAGACGGAGCTCCGGCAGCTCTGCGAGCCGATGGCAACCTGGGCAGCACATTCTGAGCGGAAGCAGCAAGCATGCACGGACTCTCATGTGCTTCTGGACCTGAGCTTTGACACTGAGGATCTGAAGTCCGAGTCCCTTCAGCTCAGCCCAGCGGGAGATCTGAGCCTTCGTTTGCCGGACGGCCGAGTCCTCTGCTTCGACAGGCCCCTGCCTTGCCCTCCTTGCAGAGATGTTGGAAGCAGGGGCGAGAAGATGTCGTGTTTGCAGGGGCTGCCAGCACTGGACAACAATCCAGGAAGAGGTCTGCGACAGCCCCAAGGAAAATTGTACTCGTAGGGCCTCTGCATGAAAGCGAAGTCTGAAGTGCTCCATGCAAGTTTCCTTTTGCCAGTTGTCGCAGACAATGAGCATGCTACCGCCGCTTTTTTGCTTTGGGCTGGTGGGCTTGAACACCGACAGTCCTTCTTGGCATGCCTTGAAGCAGCCGGTGCCCTGCGATGCAACACAGCGAAGTTATTCTGAGATTCCGGGAGAAAGCACCTTAAGGTGGTGTGGGCTATGTATGGCGTGCCAGCCTGAGTAGTCCATAGAGTTTAGGGCTGGGATCCCTTTGACCGTGCTCCCCGGCTCTAAGGACCCGCTCCAAGAGGCCTCCGTGTGTTGACGTTGCTCCAGTGAGAGAGCAGAGAGAGCAGTGAGAGCAGAGGAGAGCAGAGTGAGAGTGTCTGTTGAGGACGCTTAGGACTTGCCTCTGCTGAGGGCCTGCACGGCAACGCTCTTCGAAGAGGCGCACGCGGCGCCGGCGATCGGTGGCCTGGTGCCCCGGCTCGCAAAGGAGCCGAGCCTCTCCGCTCGCCTCTCCGCTCGCCTTCCCTTGGAGCGAGCCGAGCCCCCCCGAGCCTCCTTTGTTTTCGGTTGCCCCAGGTTTTGGCCCAGGCCTTGCACGAGTTCACGCTGCCACCGGAAGTCGTGCCTTGGCCGCTACGCCGCTGCTCACCCCGATACAACAGAGAGATCAGAGACGCCGCAGAGCCAGAGCTTTTTCTCTGAAGGTCTTGTTTGAGCCCTCGGCCAACGACATCCACCGTGGCGGCACCCCCGCGCCGGAGGGAAAGCCGGGCAGCTCGTCCGGGTCTGTTGAGTCGACCAGTGCCTTTCCACGACCTGGCCAAGACCTGGCCAATCCTGGCCAACTTGGGCAGGGCCATAGAGGGAACCATCAAAAGCCCCCAAAGCACGTACTTTCAAACGCACAGAAAGTCTTGCTTTTCCTTCTGCAAAGCATGCGGAGGCGGGGGGAAATGGGGGTTTAATTCACCCTGTGTAAAGTAACCAAGGTATTAAGCTACCGACAAACCCTGTTCTGGGACTGGTGCATGCGCGGGACACAGTGTATCAAACCTCAAGGTGCTTGCACGAATAGCTCACGTACATGCAGTTGACAGTTTGTTTGCGGATACCTATTGTATGTGCCAACTAAAATACGTAGTACCTACTACCCGCCGCCACATACATGTGGTTACAGAAGTACGTTCCTGCCACGAGATGTTTTGGGAAGGGGGGGACGCACGCATGTAAGCACGACCTACCTACGTACCTCCGCACAGAAGAAACAAACACACACACACGCACGTGCGTGCGACATACCGCACTTTGGAAGGTATGCCCGAGCCAGTATGTCCATCCATAGGAGCAGAAGAAGATCACCATAGCTCCCACACCCAGTCGAGCATCCATCCCCAAGGCCTTCGCCAACTGCGAAGAGTCACAGGAGCTTCCATGCCCCCAACCATGATGGCATGTCTCCATCCCGGAGCGCAAAGGTGACGATCGAGCATCCGTGCCCTGTAATAAATTTAAACTTCAATGACATTCAAATCAAGGTGCATAGGGGCTTGTCGTATCATGTCTTGTTGATTTCCAGCGGATCTGAGCCTGGGTTCAACAGTTTCATACTGGTTCACATGCGCCACAAAACCGTCCATCCATCCGTCCATCCAATGCGCTGCATTCCCATTGCAGTGCATTGCGCTGCACCCAGCCATCACACATCCAACCATTATGCAGGCATTCCGTCCATTCAGGGCATGCATATCATGAGGAACACTTCGCGGGTGCGTGATGCAGTTGTAGGCTGCCGTGCCCTCAGGTAATCGCCTGATATTCCTGAATGTGCCGTTGTTGGACTTCGAGCAGAAGGCGCTTCAAAGCCTCCACGATGCATTGAAAGACGAGAAGGCTCGGTAAGCTCATGAGCAGAGCAAGTCTACCGCTGCACTGCAGGGGGGTGGGGTTCGGTGTGGGTACTGCGACACCCTTGATGCTCTGTTCGATTGCAATTATCGCCACCATGTGAAAACGATGACGATGAACGTCGCTGGTGACGATGACACAGATAGCAGCAAAGAGACGGCAGCCATCATAGAGCTGCTGTGCTGCACAACGCGTAACCACTCTGATGGCAAACGTCGGAAGGCTTTGGCTCCATTGGGCGACGGAGTGATCCCGTCCTACGTGCGTTTGCATGCTCTCCGGATCCTGCAGCAGCTCTTCTTTTAAAATGTGGAAAAGGGCGGCGGGTCTTCAGACGTCGGTTGCATCCCGCGCAGCTAAGGCAGTCGAAACTGCGAGTAGACAAGGCTCCTCGACATCGGTGCTGCTTCGAGTTCCAGGCTTCATGTCGTGCGGTGCAGTGCGGTGCTCTGCAGGCGCTTAGCACGATCGCAACGCACTTGGAGATGCGAGTGCAGAAGATGCCAGTGCACGAGGAGTTGGGCCGTAGCCCATCACATGTCGGAACAAGGAAACGAAGGGTTCGACCCCACAGAAGGAAGAGGGGGCGACTCCTTTGGGCGAACCTATCCGTTGCTGGTGTCGTTTCTTCCTCGCCTCGGCTCCTTCTCCAGGCAGCTGCTACATGCTCGTGCCTAGCGGGGCCTAGCGGCTGGCTCTCGCCCAGAGTTTCCTCTTTATAAATTGATCTGATCCTACTCATGGAACCTATTTGAAGGAGTCGGTGCTCAACGATTTGAAGAGCGGGATGATGTACTGGCATGGGAGAGATCGATCTTGTCGCCCAATCCTTGCCAGGGGCTCAGTCAAGGTTGCAGGGTTTCCATGTTGCTGCACAATGCTGCGCTGCAGATTTGGCGCATGGAGAAGATCTCGAAATTTGATGCAGATCGGGCCACAAGGATGTGGTGCTTGTATCCGAAGTCGCGGCGCTGTGATTGTCATCCCACGTGTTGGTGAACCTGTCTCAGCCTTGCATCAGGATGATTCTTTTTATTCTCGAGTTCGCGGTGCGATATCTGATGGTCCCGGGGCGAGTCGAGAACTGGGTGCTTATTGTAGAACTTCTGGCACGTACTTTCGCCCCATGATGCCATGTCGCAGCAGAGGCTTGAGCTGAAGGGCCTAAGCGCATGGTCCGTGCCAGGATTTGGCGGGCTGCGGCCTGTCAATGGCGGCGGCATCTTCTTTCCGCACCATCTGCAGGTGCCGCACCATCTGCACGTCTTTCAAAGTTCCCTGGTATGTGAGGGTAGAACACAAGAGCAGCTCTTGGAGAAGTGGAAAGACGGTCGGCACAGCAATGTTGAAGTTGGAGTCAACCGGCTTTTCAACCTAGCGTTTCCGGCAGCAAGAGTGCTGTCAGCGGTGTTCATGCCATCACCCCTTAAGTGCAGGAACGTCACCCGCTTGTTGGAAGAGGTGTACTGCTACTTGGCTGCACGGTGAAGCTCACTGCGTGCTGTGCATCATGCTGTCGATGGCCTGACGTTGGCCCGTAGGTGGCCGCAACTTCACGACAAAGATCTTCCACATGCCTTCAATTGTCCGGGCGATTGTGAACTCGCTGATACCTGAAGACAAGAAATCGAAGGTGGAGTTTGTGGCGGATGCCGACATCGCACCTCAGAAGCAGCAGAAGCCCATATGACATCATGTGATCGGGTTCGCATCGCTCCGTGCCCGTCGCTCTCCTTGCGAAGGCGAAGAGCATGAGGCAGCTCTGCGAGGCCAACCAGCTTGAAGAGCAGTACGGAGGCACCGCTCCCAACGTCTCTTGGCGCGGAGTGGAGGCTCATTTTGTGGCATTTAAAGCACAGCAGCTCCTGAGGTAAGGGAAGGAGGAGCCTTTCCCTTCCGTTTCTTCCCCCACTGCCGTGGGCCGCAGAGCGGAGGCTCTCCTCCGCTGCCTTCCCTGCACGACGTTGTCGACCCTGGGACCACCCTTTAGCGACTTTAGCGAAGTCTCACGTCACACGACAGACACATCCGAGGACCGATCGTTTCACGAAGGCTTCTCCTTGGATCTTTTTGAGAAGGCCTGCATGCCGCTAGGGAAGGAGATGGGGAACCGGGGGAGGGCCGAGGGGGGGCTCCGGAGGCGCAGACGATCTGGCGACCCTTCATTGATCATCAGCCGCTGACCAAGACCGGAGCCGAAACGGTTTCGAAGCTGCTGGCGCGGACCATTTCTCCGACGGATGCCCGGAAAGACCTTAGCATGTTACGACTCAGGACGATCATCACGACTGTCATGTGCCATGATATACCTGAAAGGGATGGGATGAGGGCTTTCGATGGTTTCGGCTTACGCGTCGTCGAGCTGTTGTGAGCACATCTCAGCTTGAACTAAGGAAACTCTGGAGCCTGTGGCGAAGCATCGTATGTATTTTCCTACTTTTGCTTGTCGCAGCGTCAACAACATGCGCCCTGTGATATGGATTGTGTATGGAGCGAACCTCCAAGGAGCAGTGGCTGGCTCTGCAGAGCACAGAAGCTGCAAACAAGTATGCCGCGCAGCATGTATCCGAAAGACCCACCGAGGCACCGGAACGGATGGAAGGGTTGAAGCCGAGACTGCGGACGCGAGAGAATGTCATTTAAGTGAGGCTCCGGACGTCGAGCCGGAGCCCGTCTCTCCTACGCTCTCGCCGCTGGGTTTGCATGCGAGCCCTTCCTTGATTCGGTCTGAAGCGATCTGAAGCTGCAAATGGCAGGAACGCCGACACCCGAACCGTCGATGTCCCGTCCCGAGAGGAGAGACTTGGCGCGTGGTCTGCGGCGTGCAGCATTTGCAGCATCTAGGTCGCGAAGAGCAACGAGCTGGAGGTCGAGAAGGAGAAGGAGCTGGAGCCACTGGACTTCGACTTCTCCAGGTCTCTCGTGGTCCAAAAGGAGGAGGCGAAGATCTTTCCGGTGATCGAAGGGGAAGAGAAGGCCAGGCCTGGACGAGGAGAGCCCCCTCATGGGGCCGTGACCTCGCCAGTGACTCGCCAGTGACTCGCCAGGCCGCCTGCTGCGTCTGCTCGCTCTGAGGGCGGAGGGGGAGTGGAGGGCCGCGGAGGGCCGTGGAGGGCCGTGGAGGGCTACAGGAGCCCGGATTCCAAAGGAATCGGGGCTTCAAAGGCCTTGCGCAGTGAAGCTGGCAGCCGGGTGAAGACTCATTAGCGCGCCAATGCAAGACCCGCTTGGAGAGAGTCAGGGAGAAACCTCTACAGGGACTGAGAGGCCTGCGCAGGCCAAGGTCGATTTAAATAGGAAAACCTAGAGGAAAATCGGGACCAGGACCGGTGGAGCAGGAACTGAGCGTTGGCGTAGTGTTGCTTTTGGACGGAGTCCTTGTCCTCACAGATAGACTTCATTCCAACACGGCGGGCCGAAGTAAAGTGTCTGCCCTACTACCCCTACCTTGGTGATGAGACAAAGGCATACCGCTGCGCGTTCTCCGAGCTTATGTTGGGTTGTCCTGATGATGTCAAGGTTTCAGCACTTGGGTCGATTCATTCGCCTGGCTGTACAGAAGCCGCCGCCAGAATGCGAGAGAACCAGCAGGCATCCCAAGAAGTCTCTGGTGGTCGCTTAGATGAGTGGGTTTCCGGCGATGCAGAACTGCATGGCTTTTGCAAGCTTTTGCGGCCTCCCGCAACATGCAGCTACAAGACAGAACATGCTAACAGAGTGGGTGGTATCACCGAGTTGCCCAAGAAACCCGTTTGCAGCACTGGCGTTAGCGTTGGCACTGTACAGACTGAAGCTCAGTCTCCCTGCTCGACTTGACACAGTGTAGAGGTGGGTTTTAGAAAAGGGCCGCCCAGGTAACTGTGTGCGTGAGACTCCAGTAAAGTATGTGTTTGTGTAGATTCGCGAGCTGTCGAATCGCAGACTCTTTGGATCATGTTTCAAGACCCACCAGGAGGTGCGTGGCAGTCCAAACTTAGTTGCGGAGCCCCACTAGTGTGTCCATCAGACTGAAAAGCTCCGAGGATTTACAGCTTGGGCAGAACATCAGCACATGCCATGGCACGATGGTCCCCCGCGACCTCCGGCGCCCTTTCTGAGAGCTGCGGTCTCGGTGGGAAAGCCGGCGAAGCGCTTACAGAATTTCCCGATGCCTTTCAGGATGCTTTGTGTGGTCTGCGGTCGTGCCGCAAAAGGCCGCTGTTCCGCGTGCCGGCAGCCTGTCCAAAAGACGGCGAGCGATTTACCTGGAAGGTCTTCTATGTAGGTACTGGTTCGGCTGTCCCAAGAATGCTTCTCTGAGGTCTGTGCACTACTGTAGCGAGCTGCTTTTCCGCACCAGAAGAGCGCGCTAAGAGGTCCTCTGAGCTCGGAACCTTAAACCGATCCGAGGAACTGTCAGCTGCTCGACTGGTTCGAGGATCACGCGGCATGCTGCCAGGCAAGCGGCCGGCCCTACCGGGAGGACAGCCTCTTGGAGGATCCGGGGGCCCAACAGACGGAGGCTACGGAGGCTCCCTGGGAGCCCATGGAGCCCGAGACCGAGACGCCTCCGAGAACACCCACGCTCAGGCCGGAGATCGGAGCAGCGCGGCGCAACAGCTGTGCGTTGCATGCGTTGCCGCTGTTGCCTCAGACCGCCATCACCGCCCACAGCCGATGATTCCACGGAGGCAGGCCGTGGAGGGGTCGAAGATGGTGTCTGTGTGCACCTGTTTTTCCTGGGAGGAGGCGGTGGGGCTTTGGAGAGAAGCGCTTTCGAAGCTGTCGCGGCGCGGCGGCGCTGGTTGCTGAAAACCGGGCATGAGGTTGCCAGTCTGACACACTGAGGGAAGAGCTCTACGACGAGGATGATTTGGAGGAGCGGAGCTTAAAGTGCTTGGTGTTCCTCGTTTCCGGAGTGCTTTGGAGGACCTGGCGGACTTGGAGGTCCTGGTGGCCAGTGCCGAAGAGATGCAGCTCGGCATCTGGATGTTGCGAAGCACCCGCGACGCTCTGCCGTTTGCCCCGAGGCTGAGCAGCGGGAGACCGCGTTGTGAGCTGGTTTCCTTCGGTCCCCGGCCGGTCCTTCTGACGGCACCACACTGTTTGGCACTGCTGCTTTGAGACCAACTTGGTCGCTACCACAGTCTTACACATGTTACATCTGGCCGCAGCCCTGACAGCCTTGGCCTGAGGCTCCGCGACGGGCAGTCGCCGCACCTGGTGGAGAAGCACACGATCGCCTCCCAGCCGCAGTTGTCTCTCTCTCTCTCTCTCTTTTTCTCTCTCTTTCTCAGGAGATTTCTTGCTCTGCTCTCGGTGGCACTGCCTCATTCACGTCTCTCAGGAGATCGCCTCGGGCTGTGCTCGTTTCCTCAACGGGAGCGTCTTGAGTTGGTCGGCTTTGGAGCGGAGGAGGACGGAGCTCTTGTGGAGGCTCTCGAAGCGCGTGAACGAGGAGCGGGGCCGCTTCGACATCCGGGACGGCTTTCTGCTGGATCCGAGGAATCGGGATCCCAACTTCTTGGCCACCTCGGAGCTGCAGACAAACGCGTGGTTTCAACAGATCCGAAAGCTTTCGGAAGCCTGGAGTCTGAAGTTTGGGATCGATCTGGAACTGCTTCACGTGGATGTCCATGGATGTCAGGATCCACCGAACACTCCCTCGCATCTCACGGTTGGGCTGGGTGCCATGTGTTTCCATGCCATCGACCTCGGGGACGCAGATGCCTACGAAGATGCCATCTGCTTTGGCAACGCCGTCTGCCGTGAGCTGAGCCAGGTCCTGGCAAAGGCCCAAACCCTGCGGCCGCGCGCCGCGCTGGTGCGACTCTCAGCCCCAGGCCCATGTCTTAAAAATTAGCTAGGCTGGCGGACCCAAGAATCACCGCTTTGCTTCGTCGCCCTTTCTGCTGTCGCAGGACCCGAGGAGGAGAACTGCGCCCCGCGCTTCTCTGGGGCCTGGCGGGGCGGCCGGCACACGCAGTCGCAACAGGCGATCCGCGCAGGCTTCAGCCATGCCGTGCAGCTGGAGCTCTCCAAGGCACTGCGAGCGATCTTGGCCACGGACGAGGTCCTCCTCTCCGGCTTCGCCAGCGCCTTGCGAGCGGCATGGGTTCAAGCGAAAGCAGCAAAGACACAAAGACAGAGGCGGTCGAAGCGCTCATGGCAAGCGAAGACCTAGCCGACAGGAGCTGTTTAGCTTCCGAGAGCGTTCTTGCGTTCAGAAAGAGAGTGCTTGGAGTCTTGGAGTTGCAGCCAGCGGCTGCCATGCAGAGCACTTGCAGCACTTTGCCTCGCCTCGCCTCGCAGCGCCTTAGACGAGTCTCCGAGTCTCCCCCGCTGCAGCCTGCAATTTGGGCTCAGGGTCCCCAGGCAGGATGGGGTCACGGTGTCCAGGGTCCAAAAATGGGTAATGCCGGCGGCTCAGTCGGCCTAAAGGGCCGAAAGTGCCCAAGAGTCGTAGCCGCGTCGTCGCCCTTTGCAACTTCACGGCCGTGAACTGAAAGGACACGAGCTGACAAACAAACATCCCACCACCACTGCCGGCTTTAGCGGAGCAGTGCCACCCACCACCCTGCTTCCACAGTTTCAGCCCGAAAGGCAGTGTACCCTGCCATCCCCTCTTGCACTGACGACGACCACTTGCAGCTTTTTCCGCGACCGCAGCCTCCGAGCGTTCGACTCTGTGGCATTTGCGTGCTCTTGTCTGCTCAGGCTGCGGCTGCGTGTTGCTGTGCCGCAAAAGACGAAGGCGTCGAGGTCACGGCCTACGCCATCGGGGCCACCGACGGCCCGCCGGGGCCTGGAGGCAAGTCGCAAAGAGGTGTCCGCGTGCCACTGTCAGCTCAGGATCAACGATGTCGCCGGGCTGCAAGACACTCCGAAGTCCGAGAGTTGAAACAAGGGAAAGGAAGTGTGCTCTCTGTGGTTCCTTGCGAGGAGCGCTTCCTGGGATCTACGCAGAAGCAGTACGCCATCGCGATACGAAAGAAGGAGCAGCTTGACCAGCTGGGCATGGACGTCAAGCATCGGCTGCCACTTGCCACAGCTTTGATGTCTTTCGAGCCTGTGACGCCTCGCCCTCCCGCCCGCCCCTATTTCTCCCCCCGACCATGTAAGCAGGGATGATGCACAGCGTGCTTGGTGAACCAAGCTATGCGACAAGGAAGTCCAGCTTCAAATTCGGTAATTCGGGTAGTCATGCACAGGTATGCAGGTCAAGATTGCTCCGCATGGAAAGTGCAAACGAAGTTGCATGGGTTCCAGAGTTTGCGACTGAAGCACTCAGCAGCCTAGATGGGGTTCTGGACGAGGGCCGTAGGTGAAAAGGAATGACATGGAAAGACGGAAGAAGGCGGAAAACCGGTGGCGGTAGCACCGACGGGATCGGTGCCGGAAGAGTCTGCCTTTTCTCTGGAAGTTGCATCCCGCAGAGCAGTGGGCCGTGACCGGGGGAGGGGTGGCGAACAGTGCGGCTGTCTGAAAGAGGGTGCGTCAATTCTTCTGATAGAATCCTTTCAAGTGGATCTCCGCCTCTTTCGTTACTGCGCAGCCTGAGGGGCCGCTTGGTGGTGGTGGCGATCCGCAGAGGCGGGGCCGTGGATCGCGCGAACCTGGTGGCCGCGCCCCTTGGACTGAGGCTAACGGGGCTTGGTTGTGGCGAAACAGAAATTGCGCAGGGCATGCTTTTGAGGGTTTAGTTAGGGCTCGACATTTCTCGCCCTCCAGTCGCGCCAAGGCAACATGGGCTGCAGCCGATTCAGGCTGGAAGGATAGCTTTAGGCTGTTGCGAGGCGCAGCAGTTGTTGGCCCGTGCAGGTCAATGATGTCATCGTGGACATCAACGGCGCCACCTTGGAGCCTTTGTCTTCCACGCTTGTCTGGCACGGTCGGTGGATCCGAGCCCGACCAAGGACACGGGCATGGTCTCAGAGTGCAAATCCTCGCTGGTTCTGAACGTCAAGTTCCTGCGGAGGGAGCACTTCAGGCCGGCTCAGGTCAACCCCGGAAGAGAAGAGAAGAGCAGCTAGAACAGAGAGAGGCCAGGCTCTAGGCTCCCGATAGAACGACCGTGCCAGGTGACCCGCTGAGGCAAATTCGCTCGCAAAGCGGTTTGAGTCCAAGGATGTAGGCCGCGATGGCGATACCTCGGCTTAGTTGAGTGAACCTTGGGCGGCTTCAGAGCTCTACATCCCTGGGAGCCCCAGCGTCCAAAGAGCATTGGTGGCTGAGCAGTTTCACTCTGAGACTCCGAGTTCGTACACACCGCATATCATAAGGCTCCTGATGCGCCCTGGCCCTAAAACCCTGACTGGCCCCTCATTCGGCCAAACCTCGGCTTCCAGCTTCCCCCCACAGAGAATCTAATAAGCAAGGATGCAGGCTTGAGTAAGGCAGCGAAGGCTGTGAGTAAGGCAGCGCGTCGCCTCACTGCAGCGGAGGCGTCTCATGTGTCTGCCGGAACGTGTCCCACCTCCTGCATTCCGAGCTCCGCCCAGTAACAGAGCGCCTAGGGCCGAGGGCACGGAACAGCAAGGGCTTGGGCAGGGTAGCAGCGGGTAGCACTTTCCTTAGAGAGCAGGGCCCTTCCTCTCAGAGCTTCCCGGCCCGGCAGCCATGGACCTCGGCTTCTTGAAAAGCTTTCCAGCCGCCGAGGCCAGGGCCAGGGGGGGACGCAGTGTTCGCAGGCTCGAAGTGAGACCCCACGCCAGCCGTCCGGGGCCGTCAGCTTTCCACAGCGACCCGGCGACATGGGTAAGCTCATTTCAAGGGCCCTTACAGCATCAAAGAAGAAAGCTGCAAAAGGCAACTTCGATACTCCTCCCTTCCGTCTGTTTGGCGGTGAACCATCTTCTAGCTGAGCCGTGAAAGGTTCAGGCTTGCTGTGCTCGGTTTGTGTGCCTAGACCCCAGGTGGCAAAGGCCAGATCTTTGTGGTGGATACATCAGGCTTTTGTCAAGATCCTGCTTCCTCCCTCTACTTCCTCACAGCCTGGCCCCTGACATCCCCCCAGCGGCGAGAGAGACTTATTGAGTTTTGGGAATTCCAATTCCAACGCCGCGCAGGAACCAAGCGGGGAGGATCCTCTGGTGATTGCCTTGGCGCGCAAAGCAGAGGCAGAGAAGCAACGACAGGAGTGACCGGATGCTGTCTGTCTATAGGCTTTGCGTGCTCGGTATCGGCAGAGGGGCGCAAAGCGGTCAAGACAAGGCAGTCGCTAGAGTCTTCATCAGCTTGAACATGGGTCTGGTAAAGCTTCACATCCAATGCCAGGCTTCCGCAGAACTGTCCTTTGAGACCTGATACACACAGACCACGCTCCCAGTTTCACTTTTGCTTCTGCCGCTGCTCTTATCCACTTGCTGCTCGTAGCTGATCGTCTTGGTTGTGCCGGTAAATGCAGCGATGCTGCTGCCATCTCGAAGAGGGAGGAGGTCCCCAGCAGCACCGGCTGTGGCACGACACGCTGCGCTTATCTGCAGTTCAGGAAGCCTCGCAAGCGCGCTGGGCCTCGTGCCAGGACCACAAGGTGTGGCTGGCTGAGACGCTTGGCCTTCGCTATGCGGTGTGATGTGATGCTGGTGGTGGGCAGGTCGGTGAAATGGAGCATTGGAAACTGAGGAAGAATTGGAGAAAGCAAGTCCGAAAGAAGAAGGACACTTGCCCTACGTTCATTCGGGAGTGTGCGCGGACACAGCTCCTCGGCCTCCTCGCCGACAGTCTTGTTGCCTTGCCAGGGATGTGATGATTCAGCATGCAAAGGCACTCGGGGTAAGCAAAAGCACATGAGACATGGTTAAGTGTTTAAAGAAAGGGGTACAATGTGATACACATGCATCTACAGTGGTGAGTATTGGTAGTATAGAAGTGACGTTTGTAAATGTACCTAGATGTTTGCACACACACTCACACACCGCACGCACGCACGCACGCAAGCATCCGTCCATGCATCCATCCATCCGTCCATCCGTCCGTCCGTCCATCCGTCCATCTCTCTCCACATTCATCCATCCGTCCATCTACCCTCCCACCCATTCACGCTGTCTGGCTACTAGCTACCTCGCTACCACCTAGCTGACAGCTCGCTATTTTTCTCCCCAGCCACCTGGTTACCAGGTTACCAGATACCTAGCTAGCTGCTAGCTAGCGCTAGGGAGCGACCTACCTACCCACACATACATACATACATACATACATACATGCATGCATGCATGCATGCATACATACATACATACATACATACATACATACACACATGTATATATATGTATCTAGACATGATGCATGTATACAAAACTTCGTCAATGCACATCTGTATGGGCTTCAACCTCGGCCCAAGAACATTAGCATAAACACCTAGTGCCCTCTGTTGAGCTTCCCACTACGGATGCAACAAGTACCGGTGCACAACTGGGCCATGCCACGCGCCTATTCCAGATGCTTTCGGAAATTGAGTTGCGTGCAAGGGCCTGAGAAGCATGATGAATCATGCAGAAAGGGTTTTGGGCTGCGGAAGCTCAGTCATGTATGCAGAGTTGTATCTCACCGTTTGGATAGGCAGAACTGCGTCCACGAAGGTTTACACTTGCGATATACAGCACTAGTTCCTCAGCAGGTCCAAATTCCGTGCATGCTAGCGCTGAAACAACCGTCAGTAGTGAGAAGAAAGACGCATGGCATTTATGGCGAAATGTGTGAGAACAGAAAGCCATGCATGTGACACACAGAAGCTTCAAACTGTACATGAGCTGCAACCACAGATTCGAGAATTAAACCGATGTGGTGGCGACAAAATCTCTGTCAGTCTGGTCACTGTTCCGCTCGACGGAAGTACGCTATCGGGATGGGTGCTCGACATGTTTGGACATTGCAAGGGTGCCGTGGGCCGCACGATGTGCCCACTTCTAGTTGGCTGTTCGCCTGTTCGCTGGTCGATAGCAAGTCCCAAATCGGAAGGTGCCAAGCACAAAGCAACTTCGCCGCCCCCACCCAATAGTCGAACATAGTCAAACAGTTATCAGATTGCTGACAGACTTCTGATTGCTGACAGACTTCTGAGTCCGCGAGAGAGAGAGAGAGAGAGAGTTATCAGATTGCTGGACGCATGAGAATCATGTGTCGTTATAATGGGTCGCAGAACGACGGCCGCGCGGCTGACAGACCTCTGAGTCCGCGAGAGAGAGAGAGAGAGAGAGAGAACGCTCAAACCAGGTGTTCCGAGCGCGAGAGCCATTGTTGCAGAGCTGAATTTGTGGATGTACTGGGTTTAGGGCTCACGACACGAGGAACATCCGGTGCATTATGTTGATCATACGAAGTGCCTGTGCCATGGAAGAGCAGCAACTTGCTCGAATCAGATCACGGGGGGGTTTCGAATCCGCTCTTTCAATCAGATCGCTGGACAGGCTCGCACAGAGGGCCGAAGCAGATCCAGGGGGGGAGCCAACAGGATCATTGACTCGATCGTTTCAGGCTCCGTTGCCCTGCATAATAGGCTAATTCTTCTCTGCGTCCTCCCGCCTATGCATCCCGCGTCCGCATCCTGCGACCGCGTCTCATGTCACGTGTCCCGCTTTCCGCGTCTTGAGTGGCGCGTCCCTCCCTCGTCCACATCCCACGTCCTGCGTCCCGTCCCTCGGCCCGCGGCCAGCGGCCGCGCTGTAAACGGGCCGGGGGTTCACGGCCGCGGCGCGCGGTCCCGCGACAACGAACAAACACCACTAGCAACTACACCACCAACAACAGCAACAGCAACAGCAACTGCAACAACATCCGGTTACGCATAGATCTTGAACACGCCCAGTCGATCTCGGTTCATCATCAACGTGTATATATATATATATATATATTGTGTATATATATATATATGTGAATCATATCCTATATCATAGATCTTAACCTGGCACTGTATTTGGTGATTCCGTTTCAGCATATATCTTAGACACGTCCCCTCATTTGGCGATTTCGGCTCATCATGCACCGTAAAAACCACGCCTCACTTGGCGATTCCGGATCATCATACATCTTAAACATGCCCCCTCGTTTGGCGTTTCCGGTTCATCAAAAATTCCCCTCATTTGGCGTCTTCATCGTCATTATCATTCTCATCATATATATATATATATAGAGTCTTCATCAGATATATCATATATCATGTATCTGTAACGCGCTCCCTCATTTGGCGATTCCGGTTCATCATGTATCTTAGACCTTCCTGTGGCGATTTCGGCTCATAATGCATCTTCAAAAACGCCCCCTCATGTGTCAATCTGATACAAGCGCCCTCATTTGGCGATGCCGGTTCATCGCATTTTTTCAACACGCCCCCTCATTCGGTGATTCCGGTATATATCTTACACACGCCCCTTCCGATTCATCACGCATCTTACAGGCGCCCCTTTAGCAATTCCGGTCACAATATGTCTGAAACACGCCCCCTCATTTGGCGATTCTATATATATATATATATCTATATCTACATATGCTACCCTCGCCCCCCTCTGGAATCCGCGCGTCTAGTGTTTGTGGTAGCTATCTCTTTTGCACTACTGGAGCAGAAATACAGCCTCAGCGTATTACCGTCAGTGTTCGTCTCGACAGCAAGCACCCATGAATGCGCAAACGGGAAACTCTCTTTTGCCCTTCTCGTTCGCAACACAGAAACAGGAATAAAGCTTCAGAGTATTGCCGTCACCGTTCTTCTCGACAGCACTCACCCGCCCACGAACACGATGACGAGTTCGTACTATCCTGATGCGCAAAGCCTCGTTTGCACTGATATGTGCCCACCCCAACCCCGCCCACGTGCTCGGAACTGCAGCACATGGGTATGGGCGGACGCGTGCACCTTAAGGGCAATGCACATCATCTCCCACACTGGAAATAGGTTTTAGACAGGAAATAGTGTGCCAAAATACGATTACTTGCGTTCCTCTCTACATGTCTTTTTGCATGAAAAATGCGCCCCAAATCATCCGCCCTGAACCAAAGTCCTCGCGGCGTAGAACGCGCATACGCAAAAGTTACCAGTTGTAGTATACTACGTAGTATTTTTCAAATAGAAATAGAACGCAATGAGTGTGGTCTCATACCTAAACACTGCTCATCGAGAACTCATGTGAAGCTTGCAAGTATGAGTTACAAAATGCCTGTTATCTAAAGTTGAATTGAAAACAGCAAACACTGGTTGTTAATATGGAGTTAATATCGGATCAGCATGTCTTGAATATGTCATAGTGCTGGCCTCAGGCTTAAGTCTGCTCAATAAAACATCTGGAAGATATTGACGGTTATCTTTTACTTAACTGAAATAACTAGTCTGTGCATTAGTACACATTTAGCAGTTAAGTATTTGTTCAGTTTTAGATAAAAGCGCCGGTTCAAGTCATTCATGAACAGAACAAGCAATGCGAACCTGCGGCAACCTGCGAGCCAAGGATTCATGAGTGACTAACTCATAACATGCCAAGTGCATAATCTTAGCCATGCCTGTTCGAACATCATTTACAACTCTAGTGAAACGTTCATGAGATGAATTAGACATTTGCCAAGGATTAAAAGACTGTTTAACTTGAGTTTCTTGCTTGCAAGCCTGCAGCAAAAGGTTAACAATCAGCGATATTGCGTGAGCATGTCAGCATGTCCTTGTGATCGAACATTCATGTATGGTAGATCTGAAGGTTATAGTTATAGTAGTGAAATGTTGAAGTTTATGGTAAAACCACGTATTGTGCGAGTAAAGTTTGAAGGCTGATTCAAAGCTGCTCTTTTCCATAGAGTTTGAACTAGGCATAATCATACTAAAGTGTTGAGCAAGTGTGTCTTATAGTTTTGGCTGGCTGTTGTGCCGTTCGTGCACATACGGTCGGGTTCTTTGCGACTTGTCCGTTTAGGTCTGCGGCCACAGCCTTTGCAGAGACCTGACTTGTTTGAATTTGGCCCTGGCGGCATTTGCAGCACTGCCGGAGTGCGGACGTGCCAAACACTACGCAGAGCTCTGTGAGGGCACTCTTTCTAAATTTTTCGCATTGTACAGGGCCATCAAAGTATGGTGTGATTCTTGGTCCCGCGCTTTGGTGCGGGAGCTGCCCCACTTTTGCTAGTCATGATGGCAGCCGATGTAGGCGCATGAAGATGTGTAAAGGCTTACTTGTTGACGTGTGCTCCCGGAGCGCTGCCTGCAAGACTACGGGGTTTCTTTGGATTCTTTCTACGTGCAAATACGGATGTGCCTTTCGTGGCCCATACTGTAACATGTAAGTGTTCGATTTGCGTAAGCATCTATACTTACGTTTATGTGCATGTGCATTCTTGCGGAGCAAACTGTCTTGTAGTTAGCATACGCGTATCTTTTGAGACAATTCCAAAAGAAACCAAAGATACCAAGACCCATAGGCCACTGAATGAGCATATCCGTCGAGACAGTCCCAAAACACCAAAAGTATCAAAGATTCAGAGCGATTCCAAAGGCCATTTCTCGAGACAGTCCCAAAAATAGCAAAAAGTACCAAAGCCTGTAGATACTCATACGGGCGTACTTCTGGAGACAGTCCCAGGAAAGCAAAAATACCAAGATCCGTAAGCTAAAACACAAGCACATTCCTCGCGACAGTGCCCCAAAAAACAAAAAACACAAGATTTGGAGCTGTTCCAAAAGCTATTTCTCGAGACAGCCCCAAAACAACACAAAGCCCGACGGAATGGCTTGGAATCTTTGTGTTTTTTTGGATTGTCTCGAGGACTATGCTCGTGTTTGGCTTATGGGTTTTGGTATTTTGTTTTTTTGGGAACTGTCTCGAGGTTCTTTGGTATTTTTTGTTTTTTGGAGCTGTCTCGAGGAATACATGCCAATGTTTTGGTATATTTGGTCCTTTTTTTCTTGACTGTCTTGGAAAAATGCTCATTTCAAACTGCGGCGAGGTTCCGGAATCTTTGGCATGTTTGTTTGTTTTGGAGCTGTCTCGAGGAATATGCTATTGTTTTGGTCTACGTGTGTTGGTAGTTTTGTTTTTCTTCGGGACCGTCTCGAGAAATATATGCTCATTTCATGGCATTTCAGATTTTGGAGAAGTTCAGGAATCTTTGGTATTTTTGTTTGTTTTGTCTCGAGGAATATGCTCATGCTTGGTCTATGTGTTTTGGTATTTCCTTAGCGTTGTGCGTGCTATTGCTCATCATTATCAGCTAGTTTTGTAGTGACGACCACCAGTTGGAAGGAGCGGTGCAACAGCTGACGAAAGCTCTTCGCAGAAGACTTGCATGCATACATACCACCTGCATATCACGCGTGCGCCATGTAAAGAAGTTTAAAGCCCAGCCTGTCTTTGGGGGGGCCCCTCTTTCCGCATTGGCTTCTAAACCCTAAACCCTAAACCCTAAACCCTAAACCCTAAACCCTAAACCGTGTTCTTTCAGGAGGAGGAGCGGCAGCGCCTGGCCCGCCAGAAGGCGGCCGAGGAAGCGCGAGCGGCCGCAGCCAGGGCCGCCAAGGCAAGGGCTCTCGTCGGCTTGGGCTCTCTTTTCTGTTTAGGGTTTAGGGTTTAGGGTTTAGGGTTTAGGGTTTAGGGTTTAGGGTTTAGGGTTTAGGGGTTTAGGGTTTAGGGCTCTGGCTTCCTGAGGAGATCCCGGTGGCGGTTTCTGCAGAGCAGGCGGCCAAGGCGAAAGCAGAAGCGGCCTGGAAGGAAGCGCAGGCGGCGTGGCTTGAAAGCGAATGGCAGCCTTTGCTGGAGAAGCGGAAGCAAGAGGCCAAAGCGCAGAGGCTGGAGGCCGAGCTTTCCTTGGCAAGGAAGCAAAGGGCGGAGTTGGATCGAAGGAGCTACGAGCAGCGGGGGATGGAGTCTGAGGACGACCGGCAACAGTCAGTGTTGGAGTTTCGGGAGAAGGAGTGTTCGAGACTCTCTCTGAGAGCTCAGACCCCAAGGGTGGCCGCCTCGATCGCCCGGTCCATCGAGATGGTTTTGGAGATGCGGGGCCTGGAGATCCGCTGGAAGCAATCCTTGGAGGAGCGGCGCGCGGAAGAGCAGCGCCTGCTTCTCTTGCAGATGGAGGAGAGGAAAGAGCGGGACTACCGAGACTGGCGGAGCATGGTCCACGAGGAGCGGCTGAGGCGCTTGAGGCTCCAATACCGCGAGGAGCACCGCGAGGCTTCGCTTCGGGAGTGGAAGCGCATGGAGCTGCTGGGCCGCGACGCCCTGAGAGAGGACCGGACCGGACAAAAAACTTGCTTAAATTGAAGGAGAGAGAGAGAGAGAGAGCCTAACCTGCTCCCTGTACCCCGGAGAAGAAGAAGAAGAGAGAGAGAGAGAGAGAGAGCCGGGCCGAACTGCAGCCTCCCGGCTCTTCCGGCTCCTTTCGTCTCTCTCTCTCTCTCTCTCTCTCTCGCTGCTTCGCCTTTCTCCCTGGCAGGAGGAGGAGCGCTTGGCGGCGCAGTTGGAGACGGCCTTGGCGAAGTCCCAGCGGGAGCCTCTCGTCGTACTTCCGGCCTTCTGGTGCTGAAAGGTCTCAAAGGTCTCAAAGGTCTCGTGCGGTGTGATTGTCATTGCTGCATTGAGTTTGAGAGTTTGAGTTTTCCGTTAGTATCCCAGCAGATTAAAAGTGCAGCTCCTTCTTTGCATGGTTTTTGCTTCTGCATGTTCTGGTCTTTGCAGCTTATCGCCGTCGGATGGTGCGGCTTACGAGGAAGAAGCGGCTCGAGCAGCAGGGCGTGTCCCCTCAGCGAGTTCTGGAGGAGGCGAAGGCTTTGGCTGAGAAGCAGCGAAAGGTCTTGGAGGAAGTGGGCCCGAAGCAAGCGGAGCAGGAGAGTTCTCTCAAGACTGGGGACGTCCCTGTTTGCTGGGGGTCGTCTCTCATGTGGGGACAATAACCGAGGTTTATACTAATGGCTTCTTGATCGGTTATGCCGACCTTCTGAAGTTGCTCTTTGGCTCCGCATCTCTCCGCGCCGCGCGTTTTTTGGTTCCCCGCCAGGAGCTTTGGGAGGCCTTGCTGACGAAGAACCGATTGGCGAGGAAGAAGGAGATGGAGTCCAAGGAGCCACGCTGGGGTTTCTTTGCCGAGCCCGCCTGAGAGAGCCTAAGTCCATTTGCCGGGTGGGGGCCAGGCAAAATGCCGCCTTTGCTGGCTTTGCGGCTTGTGCAGATATCTTCGCTGTAAGCGAGTGCATGTTTCACCGCACTTTCTCGACGCAGTGTCAAATCGGGCTCAGCGACAAGAGCTTTCGGGGAAGGGCGTTGCGCCACACTTTGCAGATTCTTTCATGCCCCGCGCTATTCGCAGCTCCGGCTCGTGGGGTCTGCTCTGAGCGACGAGGCATAGGCCAGCCAGGGAAAAGCCTTCGCCTTTTTTGCCAGGGCGTTTTTTGGTGCGCCCGGATACCTG